AAGTAACCGTTTTCCGCCGTGTTGAAGCCAATCCTCGAAATCGATCGTCGCGTTTCTGCTCATCGCGTTTCTGCTCGGCGCGTTTCCGCGTCGCCTTCTGTTCGCAGCTAGAAACTCGACTATCTCCTGCTAGTCGCCGAATGTCGCAGCTTCCACTCGGATACAGTAGCCGCAGAATTGATAGGCGCAATCGTTACTCGATGCGCGTCGCTTCCCGTCGTCCAACATCTGCTCGCTACATCACGCACCCTGCTTTCAGCCCAGCGCATTCAGCCCCCAAATTTCCGCATCCGCTTTCAGCGTTGCCACTCGTGTGGTTCCGTTCGATGCTCGCCGTTTCCGCCACTTTGCTCCGTTTTCCTTTCATGTCCATTTCGCAAGTCGTCCGTTGCTCGCAGCTCTCAAATGTCGCCGCTTATCGCACAGCGACTGGCTGTAGCAACCAGCCTCCTAGTATTACTCCCTCCCCCAAAATCCCCTCATACCTCTCTGCGTGATGCCCTCATTCCCCTCTCGCAATTATTCTCCCCTATCCCCTAATTCCCTATCTCCCATTGTTTTCGAACACCTGCCTCTCTTGCATTGCAGCTGTGAGGCGTGGAAGCATGGAGGGCAGATGCCATGGTGGTGGCTTAGTCTAAGCCTCATTCCTGCCTTGTCTTCCTCTCCCTTACTCCCATCTCTTTCCCCTTTCTCCCTTACTCCCATCTCTTTGCCCTTTCTCCCTTACTCCCATCTCTTTGCCCTTTCTCCCTTACTCCCATCTCTTTGCCCTCTCTCCCTTACTCCCATCTCTTTGCCCTCTCTCCCTTACTCCCATCTCTTTGCCCTCTCTCCCTTACTCCCATCTCTTTGCCCTCTCTCCCTTACTCCCATCTCTTTGCCCTCTCTCCCTTACTCCCATCTCTTTGCCCTCTCTCCCTTACTCCCATCTCTTTCCCCTCTCGCGCTTACTCCCTTGACTGCCCATTCTCCTCTCTCCCTTACTCCCACCTCCGCCTTTTCCCCTCTCTCCCTTACTCCCACTTCTTTCCCGTTTCTCCCTTTGCTGCCCTTTCTCCCTTGCTTACCTTAGCTTCCTTTTTTCCCTGGTTACCCTGTGTTTCCCCCCAGCTGACCTTTTGAATCCCAGCTGCCAACACACTCTGTTGTTACTCCCCGCCTCGTTGCCTTGCTTCCTCTCCTCCAAAACCCTCAGATTCTCCATAAGGCCAAGGTCACTCTGTTACCCCTGTTGTGATGCTCTAGCTTTCCCCTTCCTTGCCCCTAATATCTTACAATTTGTGTCTTCTCCTTCCCACCTTCCCTGTCCCTTATATCGTGCAGCTCGTCGAGCATGAAGCAATGAACAAGACAAGCTAAGTACTAGTTACATTTAGGATAGTGTGGACTGACGCTGTATGCCGCATCAAGTATCAAGCTTCACAAAATACTTTCAAACAGGGGTTCTGTGTATCCAATAGTGATGGCGTTGGCAGAAGTTCTTGATGGCATTGGTGATGAAGAACAGTACAGAACAGTGCTTCATGAAGAGAGCAGAGCAGTACTATTGTCTTATAAGAATCTCAAAAACAAAACAGCCTTCCACGACTAGTGTCGCCTCAGCTCAGCTTCTCAATGAGCTCTAGCACTTGTTGTTGCACACTCTGCACCGCCGAACTTGGAAGGGCACAGCTTTGCCCTGTACATACGTAGTGGGGAGTAAGGATTGGGGAAGGGAGGGGGGATGGAGGAGGAATGACAGGGCATGAGGAAGGGATGAGAGATGGGAGGATGGGAGGCGAACGGAAAGGAAGGGAAGGGAATGGAAGGGAGGTGAGGAAAAGGTATTGGAAGGGAAGAGAAAGGAGAAGAGGGGAGGGTAGTGCAGGGTCCAGGAGGAGGAAGGGACGGGAACGAAAGGATTCTGAGGGGCAAAGGGATGGATAGTGGTTTGGAGGGATGAGGAGGAATGCAGGTTCATGTGAGCGCAGTTGAGTGCGAGATGCGATTCCCTCCCGTTACCTGCACCTGCCACGCCTCTGCCTCTCGCACCCACGCTGCTGTCACGGGGCTCATGCCATCTCACTTACCACGCACACACTAACCGTTCCCCGCACTCACCACTACGAGAGAGGAGGAGAGGAATGGGCGGAGAGGAAGAGGTTGGCAGGGATGAGGGAAGGCGCAGGCACGTGGATGTGCACATCTCGCGCACCTCGTCAAACGCGCAGCTAGCGGTTCAGCGGCGGAAGGCATAAGGGCGTTGGGGAAGGTGAAATGAGGGGAAGGAGGGATGGGAATGAGGGCATGGAGGGGGGAAATGGGGGAAAGGAGGGGGAGACGTGAGGGAAAGAAGGGGTCGAGGGAAGGGAGAACTTCGAATGAGCTGAGAGAGGGGTTGAGGGTTGGATAGGAAGATGGGGGGGGATAGGAAGATGGGGGTGAGGGACGGGAGGAGATAGGAGGAGGAGGTGCGACCTGGGGGAACAGGGAAGTGCGTCCTGGGGGGAAAGGGAGGCGCGACCAGAGGGGAACAGGAGGTGCGACCTGGGGGAAAAGGGACAAGCGACCAAAGGTGGCGAGGACACTGTGACAAAGGCGACGCGAGCCGTATGCAATGACGTTGCGCTGGGAATTCGCTGGGCATTTTATGCTCACTCCGCATCCCACAATCGCGGGGAGAGTGGAGAACAGGGGGGAGAGAGGAGGACAGTGGGGGGGAGGACGGGGGGGGAGAGAAGAGGACAGGAGGGAGAGAGGAGGACAGGGGGCGCGGAGGAATAATGGGGGGAGAGAGGATGACAAGGGTGAGTGAGGACAAGGGGAGGAGAGAGGATGACGGAGGAGAGAGAGGAAAACAGGGGGGGATGAGGATAGGGGGGACTAATGCAGACTCAATCACCACGCCCGCACTCACCACTACCGGAGGGCGGAGAGGATAGGTTCGGGGGGATGAGGAAAGGCGCTCGCGCGTAAATGGCCGCATCTCGCGCACCTCGTCAAACGTGCAGCTGGCGGTTCCGTGGCGGTCACGAGGCTGCAGGCGCGGGTGGCGGAAGGGGGGAGCGGGGAAATCAAAAGGAAGCAGTGGGGAAATGGGGAAGAAAAGGGTGAAATGAGGGGAAGGAGGAATGGGAATGAGGGTATGGAGGGGGAAAAAGGGGGCAAGGAGCGGGGGACATGAGGGTAAGAAGGGGGAGAGGGACGGGAGGGGCGGAATGAGCTGAGGGAAGGCTTAGGGTGAGAGCGAGAAGGGAAGAATGAGAGGGGAGAGGAAAGGATGAGAGCGGGGAGGAAAGGAGAGGAGAGGCAGTGAGAGGATAGGGGAGGAGAGGAGAGGAGAGGCAGTGAGAGGAGAGGAGAGGAGAGGCAATGAGAGGAGAGGAGAGAAGAGGAGAGGAGAGGAGAGGAGAGGAGAGGAGAGGAGAGGAGAGGAGAGGAGAGGAGAGGAGACGCTTGAGACGTCTCAAAACCCGCGCAGCCAGAGGTGACGCCAGGGGAAGGGACTTGAATGAAGCGAGGGGGGGGGGATGGGGAAAGGTATGCGTATGAATGAGTTGCACCGTCTACCGCACGCAGCATTTCCCCACTCGGCGCAGCATTCCCCCGCCGGGCGCTGCCCCGCATGGTCCTCATCGGCGCGCAGAATTCACCCCCCACGCGCTCCTCGGAACTATCGCCCCTCACCCGACGGAGAAACTTCTCAGTCTTTGGCGCGCCGCCCGACGAGCTGCTGCTCGTCAATCGCCGCTGCTCATCAATTGGCGCGCACTGTTCACTCCGCCCCTCCTCTCCCTCCCTCCCCCCCCCCCCCCCCCCGCCGCCGTTCGTCATTCTGGCCGCGCGTCATTCTCACCTTATCAAGAATGGCGTCGCCGTCCTCGGCGCGCAGCGGGGTAACCAGCAGGCTGGCGACGAGCAGCAGCAGCAGGAGCAGCAGCGGGAGCGCGAGCGCGAGGAGCGCGGGAAGGCGAGCGGCACTCATTTCGTCGCCTGGACGAGTCGACGCTCGCACGTCGCGGAGAGCTGCGGAGAGCGAAAACGAACAGACGGTTTGGGAGGGAGGGAGGAACAGTCGCGGAAGTGAGCGGGAACGATACGTTACGATATAAACTGATCCTTGAGCAGCTATATATCAGTATTGCGCTCCTTCTGCTACCGTCGTTGATTACTACTAGTAGTAGGGAGCTAACGCTGGAGACACTTCGCCCTGTAACACATTAGATTGCGCGCCTTGTCGACACTGCACCTTTGAAACCTGCTGTGCTCCGTTCGCCACAGTCGCCTATTTTATTTTAGCGCGGATCATGCTGGTTTCGGCTTGCATGCGCTAATGAGCTGTTAGTAAGTAGGTCCTAGTGTTGCTCGTCGATGTGGAAGTACACACAGGTTTAGAACTTAGTGTGTCAGGTTACGCGCTGCTGTTCCTTCCCCTCCGCCCTTTCTTCCCCCTCTTCCAACCTTCTCCCCCGTTCCTTCCCCCAACCCAACCCTTTCACGAAATGTGTTTTGGCTCGCCAAACTTGTTCGACTTCATCGTACTGGTGATTGAGGGAAACATACACTTCGCAGTCCAATGAACACACGCCAAAGGGTTAGCACAACAAATGCCCCCAAAAACCCCTCCCAGTATGTAGACCGCAGCTTTAATCGACCTTATGAACCAATAGGGTCGTGTAGCTTGCAATTCCGGATGGTCCCAAACAGCAGAAAATCTCCGTCCACACGCAACACCGCCAGCACTACTTCATCAGAGTATGTCATCAGACAGTGACAACAGTAACTCCGCGAACTCCGCTCACCTATGAATTCACAAGATTTCGCGTCCCGAACTGAGTCATACTAGCTAACGCTACGGATTTCGTAGCCTCGAATACCACGGCCACGCTGGATCCAGTAGTTTGAATAGTCCACATAATTCCTCGCAGCGAATTACCTACTCAATCTATTATCTCAGCGACTTGGCCTTCACCTCTCCGTTCAACTAGCCGCGTAACGAGCCTTAGCTGGTCGCGCGAATGGCGTCAGCGACGGTTGTCCTTGGAGCGACGGGTCTTTCCTCTCCAACCCTAGCGATTTCGTCCAATCCTCCATGCATTCAGGCGACTCGTGGAAATTCGCCACGTGTCGCTGTTTCCAGAGCCCATCTAGGACGTGGCTTGATTCCACCACTCCCTTCATCAATTCACCACTGGTCAACAAGTCAACGCCTGCCTCAGTCAACGTCTCGGAGTCAACGGCAAGGCCGCTCAGAAAGGCGGGTGCGCGGGCGCGGGCGCGGGCCTGCCGTCGTCCGTGCTGCTAGCAGTAACGATGAAGCACGGACGGCGGCATTGGAGGCCTCAACATGGCCGACGTCATTGGAGGCCTCGACATTGCCGACGTCGCCATTTGCCTCCGCGACTCCGCTTCCAGCCAATGCTACTCCCGTCGCCACTGCCATTCCCGCCGCACAAGCCGCCGTGATCCCCTCCGCTCAACCACAAGCCCAACCCTCCGCTATATCGCTGTCTAACCATTTCGACTTATTCCTCCTAAAGTTCGTACCACTCTTAACAAACCTAAGGTCCCTCAGTCGAGACGCGCTGGCCTCTCTTCTCGCTCCTCTCCGCTCGCTCAACCTCCCCTCGTTACAGTCACAGCTCGCGTCCGTTACAGTCAAGCCCGCGTTTCTCACCTTCGCCGTCTGCCTGCTCCTCGCCGCGGCGCTCCCCAGCGTCGCTCACGCCGCGAAATCCGGCGGACGCGTCGGCGGAAGCGCCTTCTCGTCCTCCTCCTCTTCCTCCTCCTCACGCTCTCGCTCTCAATCGCGCTCCGGCCCGTCGCAATCCTACTCCTACTCGAACCCCTCCTCGTCCTCCTCGTACCAATCCCGCCATTATTCCGCCAATCCCTCGCGGAACTTCTTCTTTGCGCCATCTGCGCCCTTCGTTGCGCCTTCCCCCTTCTTTGGGGGGTGGGGAGGCGGATGGGGCGGGGGATGGTTCCCCTTCGCCCCGCGCCCCGCCGTGACGATTAACGTGGGCGGAAGGGGCGGCGGAGGGGGCGCGTTCGGGACGGTATTTAATCTCCTGGTGTTTGGGATGGTGACTTTCGCGTTAGTGCAAACGATTCGGGGGTTTCTGGGGCAGTGGGAAGAGGACAGGGAGCTGGAAGATGCAGAGCGGTGCAGTGTGGTGCAGCTACAGGTGGGTGGGTGCAGAGCAGGGAAGTGCAGTGTTACTATTTATCTATATGTTGCTGTCGTACAGTACTCTGACCAAACTCAGGGTTCAGGATAATTAAATCTTTCTATTGCTCGTTTTTTTTTTTTTTTTTCAAGGACTGTCCAGCCAATGAGATCTTTCCCCGTTACTGCACATGGCAGGTTGGGTTGCTGGGGGCAGCGCGAAGGCTTCAAGCTGACTTAGAGAGAATAGCGGACAGGGCGGATGTGACATCCCCAGATGGACTGCACTACCTGCTGCAAGGTGCAATCTGTTTTAGAGTTTTTAGAAGTGTGAGCTGGTTTGCAATTGCAGAACAGCACACTGGTTTGCAATTGCAGATCAGCACACTGGTTTGCAATTGCAGATCAGCACACTGGTTTGCAATTGCAGATCAGCACACTGGTTTGCAATTGCAGATCAGCACACTGGTGTTGATGGGGGGAGAATAGCTGAAAGGGCGGATGTGACATCCCCAGATGGGCTGCACTACCTGCTGCAAGGTGTGTGAACTGTGTGTGGAGTGAGTTGGATATACACGCACGTTGCACACACGGGGTGGGCATATGGTGCACGGGGTGGGCATGTAGTCCGTGTGTGTGTCGTGGGGGGGGGGGGGGGGGAGTGCGTGTGTGTGTGTGCATGTTTGTGAATGCTGTCTAGGAAAAAATAACAGAGCGAGCAGATGTGAAGCCACGTGTAAAAAGTAGATTTTTTGAGACATCTAAAAAATGAATGCTGTCTAGGGTAAAATAACAGAGCTAGCAGATGTGAAGTCCCCAGATGGGCTGCAGCAGGTAGTGCAGTGCAGCCCATCTGCTGCAAGGTAGTCCCCAAATGGGCTGCACTGCACTACCTGCTGCAAGGTTCCAAGCGCCCTTCCCTTCCCTCTCTTGAATTCCTCACTAAATTTCCTCCCCCTCTGCCTCCCTGTTGTTCCACCCACTCGCACCACCCGAAACCACCCCTTCCAACCCATCCGAACCCAACCACAGAGACCATTCTTGCACTCCTGCGTCATCCTGACTACTGCGTCTATGGCTTCTCCTCTGTACGCATCTACTGCATACATCCTCTACCATCATCTGACGCATTTTGTTTTGAGGCGCCTCAAAAGGCTTCTCGTCTGTACGCATCTACTCCATACGCCCTCTACCATCTGACGCATCTTGTAACACTCCGGTTATACCTTGTTTCGTTTTCTCTTGGTGGTGTACCACGTTGGGCGGAGGGTCAGTGCTAATGTTTTGAGACGTCTCAAAACACTCGTGGTGTACCACGTTGGGTGGAGAGTCAGTCAGTACGAATTCCATAGATTTCTTCCACTGCTCCAGTCTGCTTTGCACCGTGATGCCACCACCGCTGGTGAGACCGCGTTCAACTAAGAGCAGAGGAAAAAAAAAAAAAAACATCTATCTTTTTCCCCTTTTCCCCGAAACAACACCATTCTGAGGTGACTTTTGAGTCGACTCAAAAGTCTACTGTCCCCTGCGATGCCAACGCTGTATGCGTATAAAGTGAATTTTTGAGACGTCTTAAAAAGAAACAACACCATTCTAGTCTACTGTCTCCTGCGATGCCAACGCTGGCAAATCCGCGTTCGACCGGGCGAGAATTGAGGAGGCGAAAAAGTGTGTCCCTTCTACCCCTCTATACCTCCTTTCAACTCCTCTTCCCTCCTCCAAACCACTGCAGAGTGCTGTGTACCCCAATGCCAATGCTGGTGAGACGGCATTCAATCGGGCGAGCATGGAGGAGCGGAGAAAGTTCCAGGAAGAAACGGTGGTGAACGTGGGGGGCGGCATGGCGAGGAGGAGGAGAGGGGCCCGCACGGTGGATCAGGAGGGGAGCTCCACAGAATACATTGTGGTAAGTGGGTGGGGGGGCTCAGTGGGTTGGGCTGTCGTGTGTGTGTGTGAGTCTGGCCGTAAGAGAGCATGGCAATGAGGAGGATGGGCGACCGCACGGTGCTGCAGGAAGGGAGTTCCACGGAATACATCGTGGTGAGCGGGGGCATTATTGGCTCCATACGGCATTATGATGGGCACACAATGTGAATCTTACTTTTGAGAATTCTCAAAAGGGAGTTCCACGGAATACATGGTGGTGAGCGGGGGCCTGATTGGCTCCATACGGCATTATGGTGAACCTTGATCGATGAGCACACAATACGGCTCACTAAATAGATGATGCAAAGGGTCGTTGTAGAATGGGCGCTTTGTGACTTCTGAGTCGACTCAAAAGTCACCTCATTATTGGCTCCATACGACGGCATTATGATGGGCACACAATACGGCTCACTAAATAGACGATGCAAAGGGTCGTTGTAGAATGGGCGCTTTGGGGGTGCGTTGCATTACACCAGACGCTGCTCCTTTTTTTTTTTTTTTCACCAATCTCTGTATGGCGTGTGTGCTTTTTTCCTTTCTTTCTTTCCCCCCCCCCCCCCCCCCCCCCCCCCCCCCCCCCTTCATTTATCATGTTCGGGCAGGTGACCATAACAGCAGCCTGTGAGGGAACCTTGAGTCTGCCTGAAGTGAAATCCGCGGCTTCTTTGAAGGAGGCGCTTGCGAGACTGGGCTCGATCCCCATTGACGAGCTTCAGGTGGGTGAGAGGGAGATGGGGGAGAGGGAGATGGGAGAGAGGTGAGCAGGTGAGCAGGTGTGTGATAAAATAGTGAGGAGTCAGCACCGGTCTGCCCCTTTGAAAGAGGCGCTTGCGAGACTGGGTTCGATCCCCATAGACGAGCTGGAAGTGAGAGAGAGGTGGGGCAGGCGGAGGTGAAGAGTGTTTTGAGTAGTCAGGAGTGAGGAGTCACGTCCGCTCTGCCCCTTTGAAAGAGGCGCTTGCGAGACTGGATTCAGTCCCCATTGATGAGCTTCAGGTGGGTGAGAGGAAGATGGGGCGGGTGGGAGTGGAGGTGAGTGAGGGGTGGGGCGAGTGGGAGGGGGGTGAGGCAGGGAAACCCGCAGCTTCTTTGGAAGAGGCGCTTGCGAGACTGGGTTCAATCAATCCCCATTCATGAGCTTCAGGTTGGTGAGAGGAAGATGGGGCGGGTGGGAGTGGAGGTGAGTGAGGGGTGGGGCGAGTGGGAGGGGGGTGAGGCAGGGAAACCCGCAGCTTCTTTGGAAGAGGCATTTGCAAGACTGGATTCAATCCCCATTGACGAGCTACAGGTGACAACAAGTGGGGCAGGGGAGAGGGAGATGGGGCAGGGCAGGTTTGGTAAGCAAGTGGGTTCACTATTGAAAATTGTCAATAATTAATCCTTGGAAGTGCACCTCCCTCCATCCATGTCCCTACCTGCCTCGACCTACCTCCACCTGTCTTTACCTGCTTGCACCGCTCTTCACTCCAGGGTGTGGAAGTCCTGTGGACACCCCAAGACCCCTCCGACTCGTTGACAGCGCATGACATTCTGAGTGACTACCCTTCCATGCGCATGCTATAAGCTGACTCGTTTTAGGGTGTCCCAGTACAAGGCTTTCGGGCTTTAGTTGACTCGTTGGCAGCACATGACATTCGGAGCGATGTCCTGCCATGTGATGTGATAGCTCTAAAATGTCCTGTTTTAGGGCGCCCCATGAGAATACTATTATACTAAACCATGCCGTGCACGCACAACACATGGGACAATCCAGCCATGCAAGAAACTTGTTCAATGGCGCAGGAGAAGCTGTGCGTCAAGAAGACCCTTGTTTACCTTAATTAGTATGTTAGCATCTATATGTACTGTATACATCATTATACAGCATTAGTGACGGCAAAACATCAGTGTAGACCACGTCGACCAGGCACAGTTCAGCAGCAGGGGCAGGGACGGCTTTTATTCGCCTCTCCTTTGTTGCTGCCAGTGCCAGCAGATATCAGCAGTTATAGCGTATTTCATTTTAGTGGTGGTGGCAAAGCATCACTGTAGCCCACAAACACAAGGCTCAACCCAGCAGCAGGCGCTGAGGGGGCAGTGGACCGCCTCTCCCCTGTTGCTGCTTGCCTGCCCCAGCAGCCATCTGAATCTGAACTGAATTCTCAGCAGCCTAAGGGCTGAGGCAAGGCGCCACTGTAGCCCACGTCCACAAGGCACAACCCAGCAGCAGGCGCAGGGGGTGCTGTGGACCGCCTCTCCCCTGTTGCCGCTAGTCTCAGCAGACATCGTTGTCACCTCCCCCTGCTGCTGCCTCCCTCACTGCTGTCGCCACCAGCACTCGAACCATCTGCACAGAGCGAAGAGAAGAGGTGGGAGGAAGGGTAGAAGGGATCAAGTGCGGTAAGTAGGGTTGAACACATTAGTACACAGCAAAGCTGGAAGACAGTTGTCACCTTCCCCTGCTGCTGCCTCCCTCACTGCCATCGCCACAAGCACCCGCACCATCTGGCAGGAAGAGAGGAAGGAGTGAGAGGAAGGTCAAGCGCACACACAACCCGTGCCTTGGTGGTTCTGATGAGTTTTTTTCAGAGCTATAAGGAAACTGATGCTGATGAGGATGAAACAAGGAGAGTATCGCTGCACACGTACCCATCGCAGGAACCGGTCACCCACCAGCTCCACACACAACACCCGTGTGTATGCCCTTGATGCTGCTGGTTTTTACCTTGCTGAGACTTACCTTAGCTGCCATTTTCCCTGGTGATGCATCACATCACACGTACCCGGCGCAGGAACCGGTCTCCTACCAGCTCCACACACAGCACCCGCTGTGTATGCCCTTGATGCTGCTGGTTTTTACCTTGCTGATACTTACCTTAGCTGCCATTTTCCCTGGTGATGCATCACATCACACGTACCCGGCGCAGGAACCTGTCTCCCACCAGCTCCACACACAGCACCCTCGTGCATTCCCCTGCTGCTCCTGCTGCTCCTGCTGCCCCTGCTGCTCCTGCTGCCGCTGCTGCTATTTCCGATTTTCCCTCTGCTGCCTCTGCTGCTTCACCTGCTGCTTCCCCTGCTGCTTCCCCTGCTGCTTCCCCTGCTGCTTCCCCTGCTGCTCCTGCTTTGCCTGATGGGAAGCACATTGAATGGCCCTCTATCAATGCTACTCCTGCTGCTACACCAGCCTTCTCTGCAGCAACCGGTGAGCGTGTTTCAAAAGCTCTTGCTCGCAAGATGTTGCACACTGTAGCGGATCCGCTGGTGAAGGGGACAGTGGGGAAATGCAACACACAAGGAGCAAGACCATCGGGATTTCACTTTTGAGAATTCTCAAAAGTAAAATCCACATAGCTGGTGAAGGGGACAGTGGGGAAATACAGCACACAAGGAGCAAGACCATCGGGATTTCACTTTTGAGAATTCTCAAAAGTAAAATCCACATAGCTGGTGAAGGGGACAGTGGGGAAATACAGCACACAAGGAGCAAGCAAGACCATCGGGAGAGCCATGATTGCTTGTGGAAAAAATAGGCCTTTTTTTTAAGGCCTAAAATCGTCTCACTTGTTGTCCCAAGAGCACACATAGGTCCCAAGAGCACACATGAGCACACATGACATGACATATGCTTCCGACATATGTTTCTGACATGCACGGAAACGTGGGCTTTAACCGTCTCCAACTCCACCTCACTCCCCCTTCTCATCTCACCTCCCCTCCGCATGACCTTCACACCCACGTGCTCGTCAGACTTCCCCTTCCCATCTGCCCTCCTCACCTCCACCTCCTCACCTCCACCTCCTCACCTGCCTCTGCCAGCAGCAGTGTCGCGCGCAAACGCGCGGAAGCAGGTGGGACCATGGGCGCGGATATGGTTCTCCAGAGCATGCAGGGGAATGTGCGCCCACAACCACCACCCCTCCCACCCACCCCACCTCCCATTGGCTCCTCACCTGCCTCTGCCAGCAGCAGTGTCGCGGGCGAATGCTCGGAAGCAAGTGGGGCCATGGGCGCGGATATGGTTCTCCAGAGCATGCAGGGGAATGTGCACCCACAACCACCACCCCTCCCACCCACCCCACCTCCCATTGGCTCCTCACCTGCCTCTGCCAGCAGCAGTGTCGCGGGCGAATGCTCGGAAGCAAGTGGGGCCATGGGCGCGGATATGGTTCTCCAGAGCATGCAGGGGAATGTGCGCCCACAACCACCACCCCTCCCACCCACCCCACCTCCCATTGGCTCCTCACCTGCCTCTGCCAGCAGCAGTGTCGCGGGCGAATGCTCGGAAGCAAGTGGGGCCATGGGCGCGGATATGGTTCTCCAGAGCATGCAGGGGAATGTGCGCCCACAACCACCACCCCTCCCACCCACCCCACCTCCCATTGGCTCCTCACCTGCCTCTGCCAGCAGCAGTGTCGCGGGCGAATGCTCGGAAGCAAGTGGGGCCATGGGCGCGGATATGGTTCTCCAGAGCATGCAGGGGAATGTGCGCCCACAACCACCACCCCTCCCACCCACCCCATCTCCCATTGCCTCCTCACCTGCCTCTGCCAGCAGCAGTGTCGCGCGCAAACGCTCGGAAGCAGGTGGGGCCATGGGCGCGGGTGTGGGTCTCCAGAGCATGCAGCAAGGCATGCACTCGTGGCACATGCATGCACGCCGGCTTGAACGGAGCAGCGCCGTTGCTGCTGATGCTACTGCTGTTGATGCTTCTGAGGTTGTTTCTGCCGCTGATGCCGTTTTGGCTGATACAACAAGAGGTCAGGCAAATGCTGCTCGTGAAATGGTAAGCCAGCGGAGGAACGCCAGTACTTTTGCCATTTGCATCCTTTTGAGTTGACTCAAAAGTCACCCCATTAGCATCCTCCTCCATTAAAGAAGCAGCAGCACCAGCAGCAGCAGCATCAGCACTGCTGCCACGGTCAATTGCAGAGGCACTACCACCACCACCAAAAGGGTCCTGTACTGTTATACACGCCTTCCCAACATGGCTACATGGCTCACATACATTCCTCGTTGATGCAGCAAGAGGCCTACGCCAATCAGTGTTCCCAACGGCTTTCAAACCCTCTGTTTGTAGGACCTCTGAACCAAGAGGCAAGGCACGTGGATCACAGTCACACCCTCCTTCAAACTCGGATATCCTTCTGTAAACCGCGCTCACACCCCCCCCTTGCAAAGACTCTAAACCAGCACGTGAGTCACGATCGGACCCTTCTTCTAGCCCGGATTCCCTGTTATCGAACAACCCCCTGCCCTCTGTTTGCGGAAACTCTCGATCAAAGGGCAAGGCATGAGATTTTTTGGTCGACTCAAAGGCTGACTTTCGAGTCGACTCAAAAGGAAACTCTCGATCAACGGGCAAGGCATGAGAACCACATATCGACCCTCCTTTGAACGCTGATCTCCCTGCGCCATCAGGCCTCTGTGAGTAATGAGTCGAGTTTTGAGTCGACTCAAAATTCGACTCAAGGGGCAAGGCATGAGAACCACATGTCGACCCTCCTTTGAACGCTGACCTCCCTGCGCCATCAGGCCTCTGTGAGTAATGAGTCGAGTTTTGAGTAGACTCAAAATTCGACTCAAGGGGCAAGGCATGAGAACCACATGTCGACCCTCCTTTGAACGCTGACCTCCCTGCGCCATCAGGCCTCTGTGAGTAATGAGTCGAGTTTTGAGTCGACTCAAAATTCGACTCAAGGGGCAAGGCATGAGAAACACATGTCGACCCTCCTTTGAACGCTGACCTCCCCGTGCCATCAGGCCTCTGAGCACAGTCACACCTCCGTGTGCTGTCTACAGCACACCCCTCCCACTGCAGCAGCGGCAGCAGGTAGAGATATCGGCGCCAGCGAGCGGAGAATTGTGGGTGGAAGGAGCGAGGGACCTGAGAGTCACAGAGAGGTTAGGAGGGGCAGAGAAAGAGGACAGATTAAGCAAGGGAGTGCGATTTCAAAGGGCATCCCCCCCCCCAATAACAGCAGCGGCAGCAGGTAGAGAGATATCGACGCAAACGAGCTGAGAATTGCGGGTGGAAGGAGCAGGGAACCTGAAGGAAAGCAACAGCTGCAGCCCCTGCAACTGCTCAATCTCTCGCAAAGTGAAGTACCTTGGAAACGCTGATGACTCTCAGACTACCCTCGGTTGCTGCATCAACAGCTGCAGCTACTGCTGTGAGATCAAGGGGTTCATTCCACGTGTCTGGTTTGGTGGGGGAGGGGAGGGGAGAGGAGGGGAGGGGAGGGGAGGGGAGGGGAGGGGAGGGGAGGGGAGGGGAGGTAGGGGGGGGGAGGAGAGTGGAGGGGAGGGGAGGTAGGGGGGGGGAGGGGAGTGGAGGGGAGGGAGGTAGGGGAGGGGGAGGGGAGGAGAGTGGAGGGGAGGGGAGGTAGGGCAGGGGGAGGGGAGGAGAGTGGAGGGGAGGGGAGGTAGGGGAGGAGAGTGGAGGGGAGGGGAGGTAGGGGAGGGTGTTAGACGTGCCTGCTTCGACAGCTGCAGCTACTGCTGCGAGATCAAGGGGATGCTCCGTCGTTTTTGGTTGGGTTGGGGGGGGGAGAGAGGGAGGAGGAAACGAGAGAAAATACATGTAAAAGAAACCGGGTAGAGAAGAAAAAAAAAAAAAAAAAAAGAAAAAAAAAAGGGAGATTCGCAGAAGCAAGAGCCACTCACGGAAGGCGCACACTTGCCCGGCTGCATGCACGCCCTTGTCCGTCCTCCCCGCCACCACCACTGCTGCCCTCTCCACCTGTACCCCTCCTTCCTTCTCACTCTCACTCTCGCACTCTGCAATCTGAGTCAATTCCCCTGCCCTTTCTTCTGATTCTTCGTCCCTCTCCCTTATCACCCCCTTTTCGGCCTTGCTCCCATCCCTCCCTGTCCCTTTCAAAGCGCCCTTCTTCTCCCGTCGTTCCTTCCATGCCTTGCTGCCGCCCTGCCCTCTCGCCCTCCCCTTCTGCTGCTTCTTTGGGTGGTGCTCGCAGAAAGGAGCCAAGGCTGACTCTAGCGTGCTGAATTGGGGCGAGGGTGGGGAGGGGAGGCGGGGAAGGAGGCCGCGTCATGAGGGGCAATTGGCGACAGAAAGAAGTCTTTTGAGACGTCTCAAAAGGAGGCCGGGTCATGAGGGGCAATTGGGGACAGAAAGAAGTCTTTTGAGACGTCTCAAAAGGAGGCCGGGTCATGAGGGGCAATTGGGGACAGAAAGAAGTCTTTTGAGACGTCTCAAAAGGAGGCCGGGTCATGAGGGGCAATTGGGGACAGAAAGAAGTCGGAGAAAGGTGGAGAGGAGTGCACGTCTCCCCAATCGCATCGGTGGAGAGGAGTGCACGTCTCCCCAATCGCATCGGTTGAGAGGAGTGCACGTCTCCCCAATCGCATCGGTTGAGAGGAGTGCACGTCTCCCCAATCGCATCGGTTGAGAGGAGTGCACGTCTCCCCAATCGCATCGATGGAGAGGAGTGCACGTCTCCCCAATCGCATCGGTGGAGAGGAGTGCACGTCTCCCCAATCGCATCGGTTGAGAGGAGTGCACGTCTCCCCAATCGCATCGATGGAGAGGAGTGCACGTCTCCCCAATCGCATCGGTGGAGAGGAGTGCACGTCTCCCCAATCGCATCGGTTGAGAGGAGTGCACGTCTCCCCAATCGCATCGGTTGAGAGGAGTGCACGTCTCCCCAATCGCATCGGTTGAGAGGAGTGCACGTCTCCCCAATCGCATCGGTGGAGAGGAGTGCACGTCTCCCCAATCGCATCGGTTGAGAGGAGTGCACGTCTCCCCAATCGCATCGGTTGAGAGGAGTGCACGTCTCCCCAATCGCATCGGTTGAGAGGAGTGCACGTCTCCCCAATCGCATCGGTTGAGAGGAGTGCACGTCTCCCCAATCGCATCGATGGAGAGGAGTGCACGTCTCCCCAATCGCATCGGTGGAGAGGAGTGCACGTCTCCCCAATCGCATCGGTTGAGAGGAGTGCACGTCTCCCCAATCGCATCGGTTGAGAGTAGTGCACGTCTCCCCAATCGCATCGGTTGAGAGGAGTGCACGTCTCCCCAATCGCATCGGTGGAGAGGAGTGCACGTCTCCCCAATCGCATCGGTTGAGAGGAGTGCACGTCTCCCCAATCGCATCGGTTGAGAGGAGTGCACGTCTCCCCAATCGCATCGGTTGAGAGGAGTGCACGTCTCCCCAATCGCATCGGTGGAGAGGAGTGCACGTCTCCCCAATCGCATCGGTTGAGAGGAGTGCACGTCTCCCCAATCGCATCGGTGGAGAGGAGTGCACGTCTCCCCAATCGCATCGGTGGAGAGGAGTGCACGTCTCCCCAATCGCATCGGTTGAGAGGAGTGCACGTCTCCCCAATCGCATCGGTTGAGAGGAGTGCACGTCTCCCCAATCGCATCGGTTGAGAGGAGTGCACGTCTCCCCAATCGCATCGGTTGAGAGGAGTGCACGTCTCCCCAATCGCATCGGTGGAGAGGAGTGCACGTCTCCCCAATCGCATCGGTTGAGAGGAGTGCACGTCTCCCCAATCGCATCGGTTGAGAGGAGTGCACGTCTCCCCAATCGCATCGGTTGAGAGGAGTGCACGTCTCCCCAATCGCATCGGTGGAGAGGAGTGCACGTCTCCCCAATCGCATCGGTGGAAAGGAGTGCACGTCTCCCCAATCGCATCGGTTGAGAGGAGTGCACGTCTCCCCAATCGCATCGGTGGAGAGGAGTGCACGTCTCCCCAATCGCATCGGTTGAGAGGAGTGCACGTCTCCCCAATCGCATCGGTGGAGAGGAGTGCACGTCTCCCCAATCGCATCGGTTGAGAGGAGTGCACGTCTCCCCAATCGCATCGGTTGAGAGGAGTGCACGTCTCCCCAATCGCATCGGTTGAGAGGAGTGCACGTCTCCCCAATCGCATCGGTTGAGAGGAGTGCACGTCTCCCCAATCGCATCGGTGGAGAGGAGTGCACGTCTCCCCAATCGCATCGGTTGAGAGGAGTGCACGTCTCCCCAATCGCATCGGTTGAGAGGAGTGCACGTCTCCCCAATCGCATCGGTTGAGAGGAGTGCACGTCTCCCCAATCGCATCGGTTGAGAGGAGTGCACGTCTCCCCAATCGCATCGGTTGAGAGGAGTGCACGTCTCCCCAATCGCATCGGTGGAGAGGAGTGCACGTCTCCCCAATCGCATCGGTTGAGAGGAGTGCACGTCTCCCCAATCGCATCGGTTGAGAGGAGTGCACGTCTCCCCAATCGCATCGGTTGAGAGGAGTGCACGTCTCCCCAATCGCATCGGTGGAGAGGAGTGCACGTCTCCCCAATCGCATCGGTTGAGAGGAGTGCACGTCTCCCCAATCGCATCGGTTGAGAGGAGTGCACGTCTCCCCAATCGCATCGGTGGAGAGGAGTGCACGTCTCCCCAATCGCATCGGTTGAGAGGAGTGCACGTCTCCCCAATCGCATCGGTTGAGAGGAGTGCACGTCTCCCCAATCGCATCGGTGGAGAGGAGTGCACGTCTCCCCAATCGCATCGGTTGAGAGGAGTGCACGTCTCCCCAATCGCATCGGTTGAGAGGAGTGCACGTCTCCCCAATCGCATCGGTGGAGAGGAGTGCACGTCTCCCCAATCGCATCGGTTGAGAGGAGTGCACGTCTCCCCAATCGCATCGGTTGAGAGGAGTGCACGTCTCCCCAATCGCATCGGTTGAGAGGAGTGCACGTCTCCCCAATCGCATCGGTTGAGAGGAGTGCACGTCTCCCCAATCGCATCGGTTGAGAGGAGTGCACGTCTCCCCAATCGCATCGGTGGAGAGGAGTGCACGTCTCCCCAATCGCATCGGTTGAGAGGAGTGCACGTCTCCCCAATCGCATCGGTTGAGAGGAGTGCACGTCTCCCCAATCGCATCGGTGGAGAGGAGTGCACGTCTCCCCAATCGCATCGGTTGAGAGGAGTGCACGTCTCCCCAATCGCATCGGTTGAGAGGAGTGCACGTCTCCCCAATCGCATCGGTGGAGAGGAGTGCACGTCTCCCCAATCGCATCGGTTGAGAGGAGTGCACGTCTCCCCAATCGCATCGGTTGAGAGGAGTGCACGTCTCCCCAATCGCATCGGTTGAGAGGAGTGCACGTCTCCCCAATCGCATCGATGGAGAGGAGTGCACGTCTCCCCAATCGCATCGGTGGAGAGGAGTGCACGTCTCCCCAATCGCATCGGTTGAGAGGAGTGCACGTCTCCCCAATCGCATCGGTTGAGAGGAGTGCACGTCTCCCCAATCGCATCGGTTGAGAGGAGTGCACGTCTCCCCAATCGCATCGGTGGAGAGGAGTGCACGTCTCCCCAATCGCATCGGTTGAGAGGAGTGCACGTCTCCCCAATCGCATCGGTGGAGAGGAGTGCACGTCTCCCCAATCGCATCGGTTGAGAGGAGTGCACGTCTCCCCAATCGCATCGGTGGAGAGGAGTGCACGTCTCCCCAATCGCATCGGTGGAGAGGAGTGCACGTCTCCCCAATCGCATCGGTTGAGAGGAGTGCACGTCTCCCCAATCGCATCGGTTGAGAGGAGTGCACGTCTCCCCAATCGCATCGGTTGAGAGGAGTGCACGTCTCCCCAATCGCATCGGTTGAGAGGAGTGCACGTCTCCCCAATCGCATCGGTGGAGAGGAGTGCACGTCTCCCCAATCGCATCGGTTGAGAGGAGTGCACGTCTCCCCAATCGCATCGGTTGAGAGGAGTGCACGTCTCCCCAATCGCATCGGTTGAGAGGAGTGCACGTCTCCCCAATCGCATCGGTGGAGAGGAGTGCACGTCTCCCCAATCGCATCGGTGGAGAGGAGTGCACGTCTCCCCAATCGCATCGGTTGAGAGGAGTGCACGTCTCCCCAATCGCATCGGTGGAGAGGAGTGCACGTCTCCCCAATCGCATCGGTTGAGAGGAGTGCACGTCTCCCCAATCGCATCGGTGGAGAGGAGTGCACGTCTCCCCAATCGCATCGGTTGAGAGGAGTGCACGTCTCCCCAATCGCATCGGTTGAGAGGAGTGCACGTCTCCCCAATCGCATCGGTTGAGAGGAGTGCACGTCTCCCCAATCGCATCGGTTGAGAGGAGTGCACGTCTCCCCAATCGCATCGGTGGAGAGGAGTGCACGTCTCCCCAATCGCATCGGTTGAGAGGAGTGCACGTCTCCCCAATCGCATCGGTTGAGAGGAGTGCACGTCTCCCCAATCGCATCGGTTGAGAGGAGTGCACGTCTCCCCAATCGCATCGGTTGAGAGGAGTGCACGTCTCCCCAATCGCATCGGTTGAGAGGAGTGCACGTCTCCCCAATCGCATCGGTGGAGAGGAGTGCACGTCTCCCCAATCGCATCGGTTGAGAGGAGTGCACGTCTCCCCAATCGCATCGGTTGAGAGGAGTGCACGTCTCCCCAATCGCATCGGTTGAGAGGAGTGCACGTCTCCCCAATCGCATCGGTGGAGAGGAGTGCACGTCTCCCCAATCGCATCGGTTGAGAGGAGTGCACGTCTCCCCAATCGCATCGGTTGAGAGGAGTGCACGTCTCCCCAATCGCATCGGTGGAGAGGAGTGCACGTCTCCCCAATCGCATCGGTTGAGAGGAGTGCACGTCTCCCCAATCGCATCGGTTGAGAGGAGTGCACGTCTCCCCAATCGCATCGGTGGAGAGGAGTGCACGTCTCCCCAATCGCATCGGTTGAGAGGAGTGCACGTCTCCCCAATCGCATCGGTTGAGAGGAGTGCACGTCTCCCCAATCGCATCGGTGGAGAGGAGTGCACGTCTCCCCAATCGCATCGGTTGAGAGGAGTGCACGTCTCCCCAATCGCATCGGTTGAGAGGAGTGCACGTCTCCCCAATCGCATCGGTTGAGAGGAGTGCACGTCTCCCCAATCGCATCGGTTGAGAGGAGTGCACGTCTCCCCAATCGCATCGGTTGAGAGGAGTGCACGTCTCCCCAATCGCATCGGTGGAGAGGAGTGCACGTCTCCCCAATCGCATCGGTTGAGAGGAGTGCACGTCTCCCCAATCGCATCGGTTGAGAGGAGTGCACGTCTCCCCAATCGCATCGGTGGAGAGGAGTGCACGTCTCCCCAATCGCATCGGTTGAGAGGAGTGCACGTCTCCCCAATCGCATCGGTTGAGAGGAGTGCACGTCTCCCCAATCGCATCGGTGGAGAGGAGTGCACGTCTCCCCAATCGCATCGGTTGAGAGGAGTGCACGTCTCCCCAATCGCATCGGTTGAGAGGAGTGCACGTCTCCCCAATCGCATCGGTGGAGAGGAGTGCACGTCTCCCCAATCGCATCGGTTGAGAGGAGTGCACGTCTCCCCAATCGCATCGGTTGAGAGGAGTGCACGTCTCCCCAATCGCATCGGTTGAGAGGAGTGCACGTCTCCCCAATCGCATCGGTTGAGAGGAGTGCACGTCTCCCCAATCGCATCGGTGGAGAGGAGTGCACGTCTCCCCAATCGCATCGGTTGAGAGGAGTGCACGTCTCCCCAATCGCATCGGTTGAGAGGAGTGCACGTCTCCCCAATCGCATCGGTTGAGAGGAGTGCACGTTTCCCCAATCGCATCGGTTGAGAGGAGTGCACGTCTCCCCAATCGCATCGGTTGAGAGGAGTGCACGTCTCCCCAATCGCATCGGTTGAGAGGAGTGCACGTCTCCCCAATCGCATCGGTTGAGAGGAGTGCACGTCTCCCCAATCGCATCGGTTGAGAGGAGTGCGTATACCTCCCAGCCAAACCCCCCATCCTCCTGGCTTCGACCCTCCCACTCCCACCATAACTCAAAACACCCTCTGACCCTCCCACTCCCACCCTCTGCTTTTCACAACCACACAGTAATCCACCGCACAGCACCGCACCATACGTCTGCACAGTCACTGCCCCCTGCTGGCTCTGGTACCCGTGGAACGCCCCTCCATCGGATGCCATAACCAGCTGCCCCTGGTAACCCATCAAGCCCCCCCTCACATGCCTCTCCACCATACCCCACCACACAGTACCGCATCACACACCTCTGCAGGGTCACTGCCCCCTGCTGGCTCTGGTACAAGTGGAACGCCCTCACCCCTCAATCATACACCACCAGCTGCACCGTGCACCTGGTAACTCATCAGGTACCCCCTCACACACCTGTGCACCGCACCCCATTGCACAGCACCCCGCCACACACCTCTGCACCGTGACCGCTCCTTGCTGGCTCTGATACCCATGAAACGCCCCTCCATCGTATGCCACCACCAGCTGCACCGTGCTGCGCCCCTCCCACGCCCCGTCCCTGCTCGTTCGAGATGCCTTCTTCCCTCCGACACCATGAGAAGCAGCTGTAGCAGCAGCAGCTTCAGTAGCAGCCGCACTATCAGTAGCGGCAGTAGCAATAGCAGCAGCAGCAGCAGCAGCAGTAGCAGCAGCAACAGCAGGCACGCATTGTCCATCTGCTACACCTTGCTTATCATATCCTATCCTGCCGCCATCAGCAGCCGCCCTGCTGGACAAATCAGAGAGCGCCACGTGTCCAGCTGCCAGGCTGGCATAGAACGCGCGCACTGCTTGCCACGGGCGGTTCTGCAGGTGAGCCGTGCACAGCCCGAAGAGAAAAAAAGAGAGGCGCGAGGGGTGAGAGGGGGTGGAAGGGCGTGGGAGGGGGTGGGAGGGAATGCACTGCTTGCCACTGGCGGTTCTGCAGGTGAGCCGTGCACAACCTGGAAAGAAAAAATGGGGAGAGGGAGGGAGGGGGTGGAAGGGGTTGGGAGGGGGTGGGAGGGGGTGCGAGTGGGTGGAGGTGCGGTGGCAGGAAGGGTGAGGGGAAGGCGGAGAGGGGTGAGAGGGGAAAACATAAACACTGTCCCATGTTTCTGCAGGTGAGTAGCGCAAGGCCTAAGCGGCAAAAGGGGAGTGGGTGGAGGGGAGGGAGGAAGGGAGTGGGGTGGGGTGGGGGAGCGGTGTGGGGGGGGGGGGGGGGGTGGGGGGGGGGGGGTGGGGTGGAGGTGGGGTGAGGGAGAACACAGAACACTCTCTCTTGGTTCTGCAGGAGAGTAGCGCAAGGCCTAAGGGGCAAAAGGGGAGTGGGGGGAGGGGAGGGAGGAAGGGGGTGGGGTGGGGTGGGGGAGCGGTGTGGGGTGGAACCTGACCACTCTCTCTTGGTTCTGCAGGTGAGTCTCACAGAACACCGGGGGGGGGGGAGAGTGGGGAAGAGAGAGGGAGCGGTGGGGAGGAGAACCCCTGACTGAAACGAACGGAGGGAGAGGGGGAGATGGGGGGAGGAGGAGGTGACGGGGGTGGGTGGGCGGAGAGGTGGGGAGGTGAAGGGGACGAATGCAAGTGCAAGGAGAAGGGGAAACCGCTAGCAGCGGCGCAGTGGAGGGGGGGGCGGGCTTACCTGGAGGACCAGCGGAAAGGGAGGGGGAAGGGGGGCGCGGGTGTCGGGGTGGGGAAGTAGGGGGGAAGGGGGAAGAAATTGGTACCAGGGTTTCCGGGGTTAGGGCGCACCTGGAGGACCAGCGGAAAGGCGCAAGCTCGTCCGTGTGGCGGAGCATTTCCTTCCCCCGGCTGTCATTCCACAATTCGTACGCGCAGGGCGCGATGCGCGCGGGAGGGACATCCGCGGGCTCCGCGGTAGGCGCATGCTGAGCGTCCGCGGGGGGAAGCATTTTCGAAAATCAGCCAAACAGTGGTAATGTGACGTGGCAGTATACAAGTACGAGGTCGCCGCTGTAAACGGTGACAGTTTCAAACGAAGCGTGGACTTTGGAGATGGTGAGTGCAGCTGGCTCCGATACTTGTGAGCAGATGTTTTCTGAGCGGTAAGGCACGGTAAGTATCAATACTTAGCAAGATGCCGCGCGTTCCCAATCTCGCTCGCTCTCGTCTTACAAACACAGAACAGCCTTGTGACATCAGTTACTACTGCGGATATTTCTACATGTACTTGCATCTACCAAAAAAAGAACGACTTTTGGGCTTTGATCCAGGTGCGGCAAATGACTCGATGTCTTCGATAAGACAGATTCGTTGGCCTAACCTAGGGATTTACAGTGTCAAGGTGTTACACAATGAGCTACTTCAGAGAATATTTCGAAAAGGTGGTTGGTATTGACCTTCAATAATCATTTCAGAGACTATCATATGTCCAACGTTATATACCCCCAGCCACGCTAATCAGACAGGTGATTGCATCGATAAGTCTTATTTGCAACAGGTGCTCTTCCTTTCAGCACGCACTTCAAACCAATGCTTTCATAAATTAAACTAAAGAGCACTCACGATACGCTCTTATTTTGAGGGCATACGGCTTTCATTATGCCATTACTTCGTATCGAACTGTCATGTGCAGGAAGGGGGAAGACAGGGTAAATAGGAGCGGCGATATGGAATCATTAAAAATTTACACGAGACACCGTGCACACAAAACCATACAAGTACCAGATAACCGCAGGCGACCTCCACACATGCAGCTGATTATACCTTTGATTTTGATTTCAGTGCAAGGCATCAGAATGGTTTTTGTTTGCTGGTTTCAAGGGCTGTTGAGAGCATAAGTGTCGTAGAGGTATTTGACAATGGCTGCACTCTCGAACATCTTCACTCCAGTGTTGGGGTCTTCGAGGTAAGGGGCCTGAGAACAGTAAAGAAGGAATTACAGGGAGGAACACAAAGAAAGAGGGATCAAAGACAGCTGCAAAATAGCTGCACTCTCAAACATCTTCACTCCTGTGTTAGGGCCTTCCCCTCTTTAGCGAGTAGTGCTCCCTGACCGCAGTTACACTGTACAGTCAGTCAGTGTATGCTACGACAGCTTTTGAGTCTACTAAAAAAAAGTCAGTCAGTGTATGCTATGACAGTGGCAAACCCACCTTAACAACAGCAATGACAGCTCACTTGGAAGCGGCCGATCGATTCTCTTTTCACTTGATTACCCATCACCTTTTCACCATCCCACTGCCATGCTCACCTGAAAGCAGCCGATCTTCCTTTCACTAAATTTCTCACCTCCTTTTCACCACCCCAGCTCATTGCTCACCTGGAAATGGCCGACTCTCTTTTTCAGAGCATCCCTCTTGGGACTGCCTCTTGGTGTGCTGTGTGGGACCACCTAGCACCGCATTACCACACGCAAACACACCCTAACAGCAGCAATGCTCATGGCTCACCTGGAAGTGGCCGACTCTCTTCTTCAGAGCATCCCTCTTGGGGCTGCCTCTAGGTGTGCTGTGTGGTTGGGGGCACGTGGGCAGAGTTGTTTTTCAAAAATGCGAAGCAACTAAGGCGATTGGGTGCTCAGGAGACACTTTTGAGACGTCTCAAGAATCGTTTGCCGTATGGGTGGGGCCCACGTTGGAAGAGTTCTTTTGTAGGAGCAAATTCGAATGACCAAGGTGATTGGGTGCTCAGGTAGTTGCATTGGGCATTGAATTGTCGTTTAAGGCAAGACAAAAACTCTCTTCGTTACTCCCTTGCCATGTGCTGTGAGCATGGGACCGTGTTTTGAGACGTCCCAAAATGCGCTGTGAGCATGAGACCAAGTCAAGAGGACGTAAAAATATGATGCTTTGTGCCACCCACTGCTGATACTTTGTGCACCTTGGCTACCCCCTAGCAGACATGAACAAGGGTGGTTGTCTGCGACACATAGTTATAACGATATAGATAATGACGAGTACAATGATCATACTAGTGATAGTGAGGCGGATAAGAATGAGGATAGAGAGGAGCGAGTGGTGCCTTACGCATGGAGGACGTGGGGCAGCTCCAGCTCACACAGGGCTTCCCGCACCAGCTTGCTGAAGGGAGACGGCTGCAGGGGGGGCAGGGAGGGATTGGGAAAGGGGATAGGAGGGATGAGAATACAGATGTGAGCATGGAGGAGATGAGGTGATGCATGCATGGTAGATGTGGGGCAACCCCACGTCACAGAGAGCTTCTCGCACCAGCATGCAGAAATGGGAGGGCTGCAGGAAGACAAAGGGGGAAGGGCAAGGGGCAAGGGGCATGGAGGAGGTTTGGTGCTGCGTTGGTGCGACTTTTGAGAATTCTCAAAAGTCGCACCAATATATTTGGTGCTGCATGTGTGGTAGATGTGGGGCAGCTCCAGCTCACAGAGGGCTTCCCGCACCAGCTTGCAGAAGGGGGAGGGCTGCAGGGGGGCAGTGGAGGACAGAGAGTGGGGCAGAGGGGTGATGGTAAACGCGAGCAAGGAGGAGGTGCGGTGCTCCTTGTATAGTAGATGCGTGGTAGGCTCAGCTCAGCTCACACAGAGATTCATGCACCAGCTTTTGAGGCGCCTAAAAAATCGGCTTTTGCAGTGCCTCAAAGTGCTCCTTGTATAGTAGATGCGTGGTAGGCTCAGCTCACACAGAGCTTCATGCACCAGCTTGTAGAAGGCAAACGCGAGCAGGGAGGAGGTGCGGTGCTGTATGCAGGGCTTCATGCTGTGAAGTAGATGTGGGGTAGGCTCAGCTACGTGATAACAGTTGAGTTTGAGACGACTCAAAACTCAGCTCACACAGAGCTTCATGCACCGAGGTGACTTTTGAGCCGTCTCACAAGTCACCTCGAGTGGTAGGTTCAGTAGCTCACACAGAGCTTCATGCATGAATCAGCTTGCAGAAGGGGGACGGCTGCAGGGAGGAGGTGACGTGCTCCATGCAGGGCTTCATGCTGTGAAGTAGATGTGGGGTAGGTTCATCTCACGCAGATCTTTAAGCACCAGCTTGCAGAAGGGGGACGGCTGCAGGGAGGAGGTGACGTGCTCCATGCAGGGCTTCATGCTGTGAAGTAGATGTGGGGTAGGTTCATCTCACGCAGATCTTTAAGCACCAGCTTGCAGAAGGGGGACGGCTGCAGGGAGGAGGTGACGTGCTCCATGCAGGGCTTCATGCTGTGAAGTAGATGTGGGGTAGGTTCATCTCACGCAGATCTTTAAGCACCAGCTTGCAGAAGGGGGACGGCTGCAGGGAGGAAGGGAAAGGGAAGTGCACATGTGTGTGGGGAATGTGCAAGGATGTGCTGGAGTTAGTTTTGAGAATTCTCAAAAGTAACTTCAACATTGCTGCATGTGCGATGGACGAGGGGTAGGTCGAGCTCACAAAGGGTTGCTCGCACAGGGCTTCGCACACCATAGCATAGAAGTGTTCTTTGAGAATTTAGGGTTAGAGCTAAAGGTTAAGGATTTCGGTTTAGGGTTTCTAACGCACCTCATGCGCCCACAATTCCAACAGCTGCGGTGGCATCTTTGCCGCCACATAGCATAGCCATCAGAGCACACCTGCCTATTGTGCACAATCTGGTTCTAATCACGCACTCATGCCTCATGCGAATAACGCACATCATGCGCCCACAATTCCAACGGCTGGGGTGGCATCTTTGCCGGCACATGTTATAGAGGTCAGGACATACCCACCTAGCGTGAGCGATTCCAGTCATGCCCACACACATAACCTCTTCTTTTAACGCACCTCATGCGCCCACAATTCCAACGGCTGCGGTGGCATCTTTGCCGGCACATAGCGGCTTCCCTGCGTGTGGTAAGACGGGAGGTTGGACAAGAAAGAAGGAAGCACATAGGATTTTCTCCACAAGGAAGAGGATGAGAAGGCGGAGACAGGTGGGAATACCTGCGGTAGGTAGAACCGTGTTCATAGGAGAAAAATGTCTGAGATCCTAATAACGAATTTAAAAAAAAAAAAAAAAAAAAAAAAAAAAAAGGACATGTTTTATGGATCGACTGTCAAACCATCCAAAGCGCGATGGGAGAAGGGGAGTGTGGGAATGTATGAATGGATCATATTTTGGGAATGACTTCCATTTTGAATGGCTCGTGAATAATGTTTGTGAGTGTGAAGCACATACCTTGGTGGCGGGTTCGGGCGAGAGAAGGGCGATGGGTTGAAGCTGCAACACGCACTGGCGCACTTGGTCATTCGTCATACCTTGGTCATTCGTCATACCTTGGTCATTCGTCATACCTTGGTCATTCGTCATACCTTGGTCATTCGTCATACCTTGGTCATTCGTCATACCTTGGTCATTCGTCATACCTTGGTCATTCGTCATACCTTGGTCATTCGTCATACCTTGGTCATTCGTCATACCTTGGTCATTCGTCATACCTTGGTCATTCGTCATACCTTGGTCATGCGGCCAATGCCAGCTAGGCCTGCAGTGATGGACTGGCAGCATGGGTGGGGGAGGGATGGGTTGAGAAAAGGGGTGAGAGAGGGGGTTGAGTTGAAGAGCGGGTGAGGAAGGGGCGAGATGGGAGGGACAGTACAGAAAGCTGTTCTTTGATAGAATTTGGAAAAATCAGGCGCGACAATGCATAATTCCAACTACATGAACAGCACCACTGCTGAAAAAAATCGCTTGCGTTAACTGTGTTGGCCCATTTGTGGTGATATACTAACTCTGTGATTTAAAAAATGTGTTTGACTCTTGATACACAGCTTCGGCCACTCACAGTGATGGGGCCGAGCCGGAGCATGACAGGGATGGATCCAGTGCCTGCAGGACGGACAGACAAGGAGCGCGGGGAAGGGGGGTGAGCAGGGAAGGGGGGTGAGTGGGGAAGAGGGGAAAGGAAAGGTATGTTTCTGAGGCATTTCGAAGTGTGTATGGGCCGAGCTGGAGCATGAGGGGGATGGATCCATTGCCTGCAGGACAGGTGAGGAGAGGGGCAGCAAATGTTTATTGAGAGTTCTCAAAAAACACACGGGGCAGTGGGGGAAGGGGGTGGCGGTTTGGAAGAAGGGGAAAAGTGAGCGAAAAGATTCAGAGACAAAAACGCAAGGAACTGCTGCTGCTTGGTTTTGAGGCGCCTCAAAACTGAACTACTGCTGCTTGGCGTGACACATGGGGATGTGGTCGTGGTTTGGATTCTCCGGACCTGCTACAAGTGTTGGCGTGGCGAGGTACTTGATTGATGATTTCGTCCCTCTCGTACATGCTCAGATTTTGAGGCCTTGCAAAACCGCGAGACACGCGACGACTTGTGAGGCGCCTCACAATGAGGCGGGCACGTACCATATGTGTTGGCGAGGTACTTGATGATTTCATCCGACTCGTACATGCTTAACCTTTCTCAACCTTCGGAGCCTCAAACCGCGACATTTCTAACTTTAAGCCACCCTAATAGACGAGGCACGTACCGTATGTGTTGGCGAGGTACTTGATGATTTCATCCGACTCGTACATGCTCACTCCCGTGTTGGGATCCACCTGTGATGGGAGGGAGCAAGCGAGGGGATTGTTGGGGGAGGAGTGCACTTGATGATTTCGTCTGACTCGTACATGCTCACTCCCGTGTTGGGATCCACCTGCAATGGGTGCAAGTGGAACGGTTGGTTTGGGAGAAGGGGGGGGCAAGAGAGCAAGAGAATGAAGGTACTTGAAGATTTCATCCGACTCGTACATCCTCACTCCCGTACACTCCTGTACCTGCTGTTGGTGCAAGTGGGGAGGTTGATGGGAAAGGATTATACATTGATGCAAGGGAAAAAGAAAAAAGGAAAACACACACACACACACACACACACACACGCGCGCGCGCGCGCGCGCGCACACGCACGCACGCACGTTAGAGGAGAAACGAAACGTGTAAGATATTTTCTACCCATAAAATGCAAAATGCAGAGTGTGCAAACTTCACATGTAACGTACCATGTAGGGGAACTGCCTCTTGCCGCCCATCTCGATGGCCTTGGGTCGGTACGTGGGGCCATTGACGGGGCACGGGTAAAAGAGTACGTCTAGGTCGAGCACTGTCACCATCTCACGGACATGGGAGGTTAGGGAAACGGAGGGAAAAACCGTGTTTTGAGTCGACTCAAAAAACGAGGGAAGAAACGGAGATGGCAAACAAAGAAGAGATAGCACGTGGCCTGCTCAAGCAGGCACGGATAGAAGAGAACGTCAGGGGCAGGCGATGGTGGCAATGGCATGCATGGTCAGGCATGGACAGGAATGGGCAGGCATGGCAGGCATGAACAGGGGCAGGCTGAGGTGGTGGGGGCGTACCTTGCGGCCGAACAGACAGCTGCAGCAGCAGGTGGGCACAAGGGCGACTAGGGCAGTTAAGCACGAGCGTGGGGTGGGTGACAGGCACAAGAGTGGGGGGCATGGGCAGGCATAGGCAGGCAGGGGGTGGTGGTGGTGGTGGTGGTGGTGGTGGTGGTGGTGGTGGTGGTGGTGGTGTACCTTGCGGCAGAATGGACAGCTGCACCAGCAGGTGGGTGCAAGGACGAGGTTGAGTGGTAGCGGTGATGAAAGCGGGGCAACGAGGTGTGGCCCGACAACGTCCAGGGAGCGAGCGGCATGATAGTGAAACATGTCGCCGGCCGGGGGGAGAGGGGGGAGAGTGGGGAGAGGGGGGAGAGGGAGGAGAGTGGGGAGAGATGGGAGAGGGGGGAGGAGGGAGTTTTTGTTTCTAGGACATGAAAGGAAGGCATTGGTTCGTGTCAACAACAACTAATGATTAACAGGCGAAGGAGGAGGAACCATAGGTTCCCACAGGGTGACTTTTTGTCCGCAAGGCAGCCACACCTCCCACAGACAACCCTCACCCTTCAAACTCGTAGATTTCGATGGGCTTGGTCGCTGGCTTGAGCTCGCCCGTGGTGGTTTCCACCAGCTTGTACCCTGCAATAGCGTACGAGGGTACAACGATCAGGGTGCACAGGGGTACAGCAAACAGGGTCGCTGGCTTGAGCTCGCCCGTGGTGGTTTCCACCAGCTTGTACCCTGCAGTGGACCGAGCGTACAGTACAACAATGAAGGTTATTATATAGTCGACTCACTCACCTGTGGTGGTTTCCACCAGCTTGTACCCTGCAGTGGACCGAGCATACAGTACAACAATGAAGGTTATTATATAGTCGACTCACTCACCTGTGGTGGTTTCCACCAGCTTGTACCCTGCAGTGGACCGAGCATACAGTACAACAATGAAGGTTATTATATAGTCGACTCACTCACCTGTGGTGGTTTCCACCAGCTTGTACCCTGCAGTGGACCGAGCATACAGTACAACAATGAAGGTTATTATATAGTCGACTCACTCACCTGTGGTGGTTTCCACCAGCTTGTACCCTGCAGTGGACCGAGCATACAGTACAACAATGAAGGTTATTATATAGTCGACTCACTCACCTGTGGTGGTTTCCACCAGCTTGTACCCTGCAGTGGACCGAGCATACAGTACACAATGAAGGTTATTATTATATAGTCGACTCACTCACCTGTGGTGGTTTCCACCAGCTTGTACCCTGCAGTGGACCGAGCGTACAGTACAGCAATGAGGGTGATTATATAGTCACTGTTATTTGTCTCTCTACTACTCACTCACCCATGACTGATCCCAGCGCATACTCCTGTTATCGGTTCTAAGCAACCAACTCACCCATGACTGGTCCCAGCGCATACTCGTTTTATGGGTTCTAAGCAAACAACCAACTCACCCATGACTTCTCCCAGCGTATAGACGTCATCCTTCACTGCAGACGATGGTTCCAACTTGGCCTTGTACCTGCAGCACGCAGGCAATGTAAAAAGAGAGAGGCGTGGGAGCGAGAGATGTACAAGGTTGATTCCATGGTCCACCATGGCCTTGAACGCGCGTATAGACGTCGTCCTTCACTGCAGATGATGGCTCCAACTTGGCCTTGTACCTGCAACACACGGACCGGGTGGAAAAACGAGAAGGGAGAGAAGCGGAAGAAGGAAGAAAAGGGAAAATTATGTGGATTTTTTCACACATTTGAAATTGAAGTCTGAGCTGAGAAATGAAAAAAGAAGCAGACTCTCAACTGCTATCAATGACTGCTCTGCAGCAGATCAAATCTCGCAAAAAAGAAAGAACAACAACAAAAAACCACCCACGATAAATATGGCGAAGCGCATCGTCAACCCTACTGACGGGGGTAACAAAACGAATCTCATCAGTAACAAAACGAGTCTCACGACGAGACTCCACGCTCAGTACCCCTCACAGAAAATGCCAATGCCGAGGCGGAAGAGGATTGGCAGGGATGCGCCAATCACGGCTCCCAGTTGCCCGCTCGCCACGGCAAATGGTTTGGGCTCGGGCGGCGCAAAGTTTTTAGGTGCCCGAATTTCGTTAATAGCAGCGGTTGAGGGGGACGCTGCCACGGCAGCGGGCGCAGTCACCTATGTGAAAGGAAAGAGAAAGATGGCAGGTAGGTTGGGAACGGTTGAGTGGCGATTCAACACATACGCTGCTGCTGTGGCGAAAGGAAGCGCATGCCTCGCCGGCTCCAGCGACTAAAAATAACCGTTACTAGCACAAAAGCACAACATTATCGCGGATAAAAGTATGACCATGTGCAAATCAATTTAAAACATTAGGGTTCGAGGCTAGACGGTGTTCACCTGGGAGCTCGAAGGCTGGTCACTGCCTCCCATCTCGGCACGAACAACTTGTGGGAACCCTCTGCTACTCCGCGCTAAGCTAGATACAACTATTGAGGCGAGAAGCTAGACGGTACTTACCTGGGAGCTCGAAGGCTGGTCACCAACTCCCATCTCAGCACGAGCAACTTGTCGGAACCCCCTGCTACTACTCCCCGCTACCCTAGCATCACCTTTCGTCAGCAACTTGAAGTTGCTCCCGGAAACGCCATAGAGCGATACTAGGCTGGAGGAAGGGAGCCGTGTCGCGGCTGTAGAAAGAGCTGCCATGGAATTACACAACTAAGTCAGGGGAACTGGAGCGGAGTAGGATGGAATGGAATCCACGGGCCTCGAGATTCGCTTCCGAAAGATAACTATGAGTGACTCATTACTTCGATCGAAACAAATTCGCTAAACCATACATACATAGCATGTGTGTTATCAGGGCACTATACCAGTATAATAGGCGCTAGTTAAAAAACCGTATAGACCAGGTGAGTTTGACTATATGGGGACATCACAACATAACATTTGATATCCTATTACGAAATTACGTTTGCTTACACACATTCTATGACATCAGGTGCTTCCCTGACCTCCCACTAAATGCTTCTAATTTCAGCGGCCACTATGAGCTGATGTTTCCATAGAATAGAGCCTGGCCACACAACGATTGTTGTAATAAACTGATCACAAAGAACTACATTTCATGGCATTTTGAAGCCATTATTCATATGCCGAAACCTGCACCTGTCACGTTAAGGAACGGGGCAGAGGGGGTAAACGGGAATGGGAGGTGGATGGAATACCTCAACAAATTATATGTTATTAAGTACAAGCACAATATACAATATACATGCTCACAATGCCATATGTTACCACCACACATGGAGTAAATCATACCTTTGAAATTGGGTGCTGGTTCTAAGGGTTGAGTGCGTAAGTGTCGTAGAGGTATTTGACGATAGCTGCACTCTCAAACATCTTCACTCCGGTGTTGGGGTCTTCAAGATAAGGGGCCTGAGTACAGTAAGTGGAAGCCAGAAGAGAACCATGCAAAGGCCAGGAACGGGGAGAGTGGAGTGTAGTGGGTGCAAAAGGAACAACAAAAATCTGGCATTTTGGCAATGGTATCACCTCAAAAGTTACTATCGCTCTTCTTGAGCAACTTGCCACCACCCTTATGTTACGATTCACTATGAGTTCATGCTACGACAGAGGCGAACCCATCTTGCCAGCTCACTTGCCTATCCATGACCTTTTCACCACCCCAACACCGTGCTCACCAAGAATCTTTTGAGGCGCCTCAAAAGAGTCATGCCCGCTCACTAGCTTATCCATGACCTTTTCACCACCCCAACACCATGCCCACCAAGAATCTTTTGAAGCGCCTCAAAAGAGTCATGCCCGCTCACTAGCTTATCCATGACCTTTTCACCACCCCAACACCATGCCCACCTGGAATTGACCGATCCTCTTCTTGAGTGCCTCCCTCTTGGGACTGCCTCTTGGCATGCTGCGTGTTACTACCTAGCGCGGCATTACCTCAAGCCAATCACCCTAACAGCAGCAATGCTGCCTCACCTGGAATCGACCGATCCTCTTCTTGAGTGCCTCCCTCTTGGGACTGCCTCTTGGTGTTCTGGGTGGGAGGGGGAGTGTGGGCAGAGTTGGTATTTGCAAGTTGAGTTGGAGTAGGTGCTGGTAAGGTAGACAGGCAAGGAGCATTTGAAGTAATGTTCAGCACAACTCATTATCTTCAGCGCCTCCCTCTTGGGACTGCCTCTTGGTGTGCTGCGTGGGAGGGGGAAAGTGGCAGAGTTGGTAATTGAGAACTCTCGAGTACCAAGGCGAGTAGGTTCTCCAATAGCCGCAACGGGCATCTGAGAACTCTCACGGACCAAGTGACATCCATGGCAACAATTTCCTTGGACGTTGGGAGGCAACAGGCGTTGAATCAACATGTGCAATTCAAGGGGAAGAAAGATGCTATTGTTGATCGCTTGTGCACCTTGGCTAGCACTTAGCAGACATGAACGAGGGGTGTGAAACATGATAATAAAGATAAAGACAGCAGGAAATAACATATAACAACCATGACAACAAGGCGGATAAGGATGAGGACGGAGTGGGAGGCGAGTGGTTCCTTACGCATGGTAGATGTGCGGCAGCTCCAGCTCGCACAGGGCTTCCCGCACCAGCTTGCAGAAGGGGGATGGCTGCAGGGAGGGCAGAGGAGAAGTGGGGCAGGGGGAAAGATTCTCATGAGTGGGGAGGATGCAATGAGGTGATTTGTGGTGCTGCATGTGTGGTCGCTCCAGCTCACACAGGCTTCACACATGAGCTTGCAGAAGGGAGAAGGTTTGCAGGACAGAGAGAGGGGCACTTAGAGAGGTGTCCATGAGCGTTGAAGGTGCAAGGAAGCGAGGTGCGGCATGTGTGGTAGATGTGGAGAAGATTCAGCTCACGCAGGGTTCAAAACACCAGCTTGCAGAAGGGAGAGGGCTACAGGAAGGGCCGCAAGGGCAGGGAGGGAAGAAGAAGAGCATAACAACACAAGACGAGTGTATGTACACGAGTATGACATTCATACCCGTGTATGGGGTAGCTCACGCACTAAAGCCCCCAACTCTGAGCTCACACACAGAATCCCCCGGGTTTCCAACGCACCTCATACGCCCACACTTCCAATGGCTGAGGCGGCATTTTTGCCGGTACGTAGCGGCTTCCCTGCATGTGAGAAGCGAGGAGAATGACAACAAATTACCATGAGTGTGTGAACAAAATAATCGACTGTAACGTCAGTGGCTCATGAGAACAACATGGGTGTAATCCACGAATAAAGCAGGGGTATTTGAGCTGACACAGTCAAATTTTTACTCGAAAATCACTCGAATTTTGACAGATTTTGGGCCACCGCGTGGAAAAATTTATATATATATGTATATTTCAAGAGGGAATGCAACAGACATACCTTCATCATGCGGCCAATATTTGCTAGACCTGCAGTTATGGACTGGAACGTTGGGTTGAGAAAGGTATAAGGGGAAGGTAAAAGGGAAGGGGTGAGAAAGGGAAGGATGAGAAAAGGAAGGGGAGAGAAAGGGAAGGGGTGCGAAAGGGAAGGGGTGAGAAATGGAAGGGGTGAGAAAGGGAAGGATGAGAAAAGGAAGGGGTGAGAAAGGGAAGGGGTGCGAAAGGGAAGGGGTGAGAAATGGAAGGGGTGAGAAAGGGAAGGGGTGATAAAGGGAATGAGTGAAAAAGAGAATGGGTGAGAAAAGGGTTGGGTGAGAAAGGGGATGGGGCGGGAAAAGGAGTGAAAGTGCAGAAACATAGAGAAGCAACATACAAGAAAAAACACTGACGCAAAACGAAACATTCACCCAGATTTTGTGCTAGACGATCTTCGGGGAAAAAAAAAAAAAAATCACGGAACAGAAGGAAGCTCCTGTCACCCACAGTGATAGGGCCGAGCTGGAGCATGAGAGGGATGGATCCATTGCCTGCAGGATGGGCGGAGAAGGAGCGCGGGGAACGGGGGTGAGCAGGGCAGTGGAAAAGGGAAAGGTATGTTCTCAAGACATTTCAAAGTGTGTATGGGGCCGAGCTGGAGCATGAGAGGGATGGATCCATTGCCTGAAGAAAGGGCAGATGAGGAGGGGGGGGTGGGGGTGGGCGACGAGGGGGTAAAACATTGAGCGACGAAGAAGGGTGATGGGGCTGAGCCGAGCTGGAGCACGAGAGGGGACAAATCCATTGCCTGCAGAACGAGCGGAGAAGGAGGGGGTTTGGGAATGGCGAAGAGCAGAAGATTTGAGTGTCCAAGAAGTGGGTGCTGTCTTCAGAAACAAGGTTGACTCTCCTTGGGAAAAGCATGTAACATCAGCATGATGATTCATAACAAAGAGAATAAGCTACCCTTGACATGCCACAGGGGGGTGTACTCCTGGCTAAGACTTGGAACACAGAGACTCTGACCTTAGTAATAAAAATAGCAACAGTAATAAGAATAATAATAGTAATAATGGTAGTAATACTATTGATGATAATAAAAAAAGAGGATAGACAGTTATGAGGCACGTACCGTAAGTGTTGGCGAGGTACTTGATGATTTCATCCGACTCGTACATGCTCACTCCCGTGTTGGGATCCACCTACAGTTGGTGGGGGGAGCACGGGGAGATTGATGTAGGCAGAGCAGATTGAACATTAATAGAAGGGAACGAAAGAGGAAATGCTCTGGTTACGATCGGGTGTCACTCATCGGGTTCTGCAGCGAAGGAAGTATGAAACCGGGGCACTTTGGTCCAGGTACAAGGTGGTAAATGCATGCAATGCACCATGTAAGGGAACTGCTTCTTGCCACCCATCTCAAGAGCACTGGTTCGTTCTCTAGAGAAATCCAAAAAATGATAGATGCACCACACACAGCACACAGCATAGCAAGCCGGGCCTACCATGTAAGGGAACTGCCTCTTGCCGCCCATTTCTATGGCCTTGGGTCGGTAAGTGGGGCCATTGACGGGGCATGGGTAGAAGAGCACGTCTAGGTCGAGCACTGATACCATCTCACGGACCTGAGGAGTGATGGAATGGGGAAGAGGGAGCGTGCAAGGCAAGAGTGTGGGGCTGATGAGGGGGCATGGCCAATGGGGCCAATGAGGGGGCATGGCCAATGGGGCCAGTGAGGGGGCATGGCCAATGGGGCCGATGAGGGGGCATGGCCAATGGGGCTGATGAGGGGGCATGACCAATGGGGCCGATGAGGGGGCATGGCCAATGGGGCCAATAAAGAGCACGCCTAGGTCTCGCACTGACACCATCTCACGGAATTGGCAGGTTAGGGAGTGGCGTTAGGAGGGGTGGGGGCCAGGTGGGGAACCAATAGTTTTTGAGACGTCTCAAAAGTTCATAAAAATTGGCATGTCTGAAAGCATGGAGAGGAGGGCAGTGGGCAGGCAGCGGGCATGAACAGGCCCAAGCGTGGAAGACGGGCACAAGGGTGGGGGGCAGGCATGGGCAGGCATGGACAGGCGTGGGCAGGCATGGACAGTCGTGGACAGGCATGGACAGGCATGGGCAGGCATAGGCAGGCATGGGCAGGCACGGGCAGGCATGGACAGGCATGGACAGGCATGGACAGGTATGGACAGGCATAAACAGCAACAGGGAAGGGCAGGGCAGGTGGTGGTGGTACCTTGCGGCAGAACGGACAGCTGTAGGCGCAGGAGGGCATGGAATCAAGAAGCCAAGGGAGCGAGCAGCACGAGAGTGGAACATGTCAGCAGCCGGAAGGTTAGGTTGGAAAGGGGGAGGGGAGGGTGGGGAGGGGGAAGGGATGGGCCGGGGGTTTGTCTCATAGACATGAAAGGGAGGCATAAGCGTGAGAGAGGAGTCACCTCAACTTCAACTTCATTACGAACCTATGTGGCTTGCTTCCAGCGTTCCCCGTGTTACAGATGATTTTTCCAGGTAATCAATCAGCCCTGTCACCTCCAAAAATGCTACTGTTTTGCACGAACATGCAACTTCCATAACCACCATCCACCTCCCCCTTGTTCCCAGACACCACCCTTTTCCTCTGTCTTCTTCAATCCCCACACATTCGCTTTATGCCTTGCCAAACCAAGGAACCAGCAACCACAGCTCCCACGCTCCTCACAGGACGTTCTTAAGAAATTTAATATCCTGACAAGCAAAACTGCTCGCAACCACACCACACCCCTCACAGTGCTCCCTCCCTCACCCTTCGAACTCGTAGAGCTCGATGGGCTTGGTCGCTGGCTTGAGCTCGCCTGTGGTGGTTTCCACCAGCTTGTACCCTGCAGTGGACCGAGGGTACAGCAATCAGGGTGCACAGGGGTACAGCAATCAGGGTCGCTGGCTTGAGCTCGCCCGTGGTGGTTTCCACCAGCTTGTACCCTGCAGTGGACCGAGGGTACAGCAATCAGGGTGCACAGGGGTACAGCAATCAGGGTCGCTGGCTTGAGCTCGCCCGTGGTGGTTTCCACCAGCTTGTACACCAGCAGCAGCTTATATCCTAGCTGAGACACGGACAGGATGTGCTACTGTCAAACCCATAAGCAACGGAACAGATTGTGATTGTCCATGTCCTGTTTTGAGCCAGTCTCCACTCGCATGGAGTCTAGTCGCTGTAGTTGTTTGTCTCACTCTACTCACCCATGACTGGTCCCAGCGCATGGCGCTCGGTCGTCATTCACTGAACAGGATTTATAAGGCGCAGCAGATAATGACTGCAGTTAAAGTGAAGTCGTCTCAAGTCAAGGTCCAGCGAAGCACTCTACTTACCCATGACTGGTCCCAGCGCATGACCCTCGCTCGTCATGCACTACAGACGAGTTTCAAAAGCAAAGGGGATAAAGACTGCAGTTGGGATCAAAGTCGACTCAAGTCAGGTTCAGTGAGGTGGTGACACCATGAGGGAAAGCTCTGAAAGGGGTGCTGTTCCGAGATGTATCAATATTCTTGAAGAGAGTTCAGCAAAGGATACATGTACAAGCCCGACTCACCCATGACTGGTCTCAGAGCATTCACTGCACGGGTCAGGTTCTGGCATATTTAACCAAAGTTCTGAGTCGACTCAAAACACGGCTCAGTTCTGGCATATTTATCCCATTTATCTCAAGTCTACTCACCCATGACTGGCCCCAGTGCATAATCCTCGTCCTTCACTGCAGACGAGGACTCCACTTTGGCCTTGTACCTACAAGGTGTAGACAGGGCGAATGGAGAAGAAGGGAGGAGCGAATTTGAAGGCGTCGTAAAAACCAAGGCTGGTCTCAGTATCTAGCCATCGTCGTTCACTGCAGACGAGGACTCCACCTTGGCCTTGTACCCTGCAGCACGCGGACAGGGCGAAAAGGGGAGAAGGGGGAGAAGCGAGAGGAGAAGATGAAGATAAAAAGAGACTCCACCTTAGCCTTGTACCTGCAGCACGCGGACATTGAAAACGAGGGAGAAGGAAGACGAGGGAGAAAACATGCCTTCAAAACACATGAGACATTTCTTAATGAGATTCGAAACATGGGAGATTCCTTCGAGCGCGGTTTGAGAAAAACGAAATGAACAAACGGCTCTATCTTGACCTTGTAACTGCAGCAGCACGCAGGCATGCTGAATATGGAAATGTATCGTCAATGCTATGAGGGAGATCTTTGGACATCTTTCATGAAAGAATTACTCCAGGCTTACCCCTCACTGAACACGCCCGTGCCGAGGCGGAAGAGGATCGGCAGAGATGCGCCAATCACGGCGCCCAGCTGGCCGCTCGCCACGGAGAATGGCTTAGGCTCGGGCGGCACAAAGTTTTCAGGTGCCCGGATGTCGCTAGATGACGACGCCGCCGCCTACGAGAAAGAGACGGTAAGAATAGCAGGTAGGTTGGGAACGCTTTATAGCGATTTTCTAAATTCGCTACTGCTCTGACGAAGAAAGCGCATGCATCGGTACCAATAACATTAATGAAAACGAGTAACAAAAAAACACAATATCGCGGATGAGTACAATCAAGTGAGAAATAAACCAACGGCTAGGATTTGAGGCTAGACGGTGCTTACCTGGGAGCTCGAAGGCTGGTCACCACCTCCCATCTCAGCACGAGCAACTTGTCGGAACTCCCTGCTACTCCCCGCTACGCTAGCAGCACTCTTCGTCTGTAAGTTACTTCCGGAAACTCCAGAAATGGATGCAAGGCTGGAGGAAGGGAGCCGTGTCGCGGCCGAAGAAAGAGCTGCCATGAAGCTACACAACGTAATCAGGGGAACCAGATGGCAAAGCGGGGAGGGATGGAATTCAGGAGCCTCTAGATTGCCGAGACTTGCTTCTGAGAGGGCAACTCAAGATATCTCATGCTTTTTTGAAAACGAATAATGTTTCGAGAATCCATCCACCAGCAGTTCACGAGGAATTCCGCCTTTTCAGACGACGTGCGAATTTCTCTCGCATACCTGATCGGGGAGAGTGATTGGTCTACGAAGGTGTTACGGATCTTGACAACTGTATACGTGGTGGTGAGTGAACAAAGTGGTCCATGTGGGAGATCTTCCGCTCGCCACGTTGTCCATCCACGATTCCAGGAGAAGTGCGCGGTGCAGCTCATATTCACTAGTAGTGCACTCAATACCCTCGCTGTTTTCTTCATTATTTCCCAAAAACCCAAAGCATGATAACATCCACCCAAGTTCTAGAAGCTACTAGCTCCAAGTCCTCTTGCAGCAAGATACTCATTGCCTAACCCAGGAAAATTGACTAGGCACACTTATTGCGTCTTTTGACTAATTTAATCTGGAGTGCATCGCAAAAAACATCAAGCCATCCATATCATATTTGCCGCAGTCTGCATCCGTTGGGATAGAATGAGCCTGACTTGGATATTTTTACAAATCCTTCCGGTGCGGATAGGCCTGCAAACAACGATACACCGCACCGTAACAAAACAAATCACAGAAAGCAGGACCACATAGAGGAGAGGGTGAATAACCAAGCTGACAAAACACCAACCTAGCTTACCCATGACAAAACCCTAATCCATTCTTATCCAAATTTAGCTCATGAAGTTCTACCACAAGTCGCTCCCACTCACCCCGCTGCTGCCACCATTGCCAAACTCCTCCTCAGCGCCCAGCAACACGAGTGCATCGAGCACCTCCACCACCGCCACGGCAGTGGGCCGAAACTCACGGCCAGGCAGCAGGCAGAGCAGTACAAACCTCTAACCATCACATCCTCACCCCACTCACCCCACTGTCACCACCACTGTCGCCTGGCACCACGAGTGCATCAAGCACCTCCACCACCGCCGCTGCAGTGGGCCGAACCTCGGGGTCCGGCAGCAGGCAGCGCGAGGCACAAACCCTTAAACCTCACATCTCACTCATTTCCTACTCAAATCTCACCCAGATTTTGCTCAACTTTCGCCTTTTTCAACCGTACAATGCTCTCACTCACCCCGCCGTTGCCAAACTCCTCCCCAGCGCCCGGCACCACGAGTGCATCGAGCACCTCCACCACCGCCGCTGCAGTGGGCCGAACCTCAGGGTCGGGCAGCAGGCAGCGCGAGGCAAGCTTGACCATTTCCACCAGCGCCGGCAGGGCGAAGCTACCCTGCAGCCTCGGATCCACCATGCCCTCCACCTTAGCCCGGTCCAACAGCTTCGGCTTCGCCTGGGGGAGAGGAGAGAGGGAGGAAGGAATGGCCGAAGCAGGAGTGAGTAAGTGCAGTTTATCAGCTTTGGCTTCCTCTGGGGGCGTGGAGTGCAGTGGGAGGGGAGGAAGTGGCAGAAGCAGGAGTGAGTGAGTGAGTGAGTGAGTGAGTGAGTGAGTGAGTGAGAGAGTGAATGGGTGAGTTCAGCTCAGCGGCTCAAACTCACTCCCCCAGAGCACAAGCGCTCCAGGGACCTGCCTAAGAGGCCAACAAGCGCTTTCTACAGGTTTGCTGCTACTCTGCTATGAATTTGGATCCGTGAGTGAGAGAGTGAATGGGTGAGCGCAGGGACTCAAACTCACTCCCCTGGAGCACAAGCGCTCCAGAGACCTGCCTGAGAGGCCAACACGTGGAGCTTCAATCCACTCACCCAGTGCACGAGGGACTGTTCAGTGGGCGGCAGGGAGGGTCGAACGTCCTTCTCCCTGTGAGGAGCTCCAGCAGCAGCACGCCCATGGCGTACATGTCAGTGCGGCCCCCTTGCTTTGAGGCGCCTCAAAACAAATCAGTACTCCCCCCTTGCCTGCGAGGCCAACACGTGGTGCTTCATCAAATCACTCACCCAGCGCACGAGAGACTGCTTGTTGGGCGGCAGGGAGGGTCGAGCGGCCTTCTCCCGGTGATGAGCTCCAGCAGCAGCACGCCCATGGCGTACATGTCAGTGCGGCCCCCTTGCTTTGAGGCGCCTCAAAACAAATCAGTACTCCCCCCTTGCCTGCGAGGCCAACACGTGGTGCTTCATCAAATCACTCACCCAGCGCATGAGAGACTGCTTGTTGGGCGGCAGGGAGGGGTCGAGAGGCCTTCTCCCTGTGATGAGCTCCAGCAGCAGCACGCCCATGGCGTACATGTCAGTGCGGCCTCCTTGCCTGCCCCCTTGCCTGCTATTTGAAAGTCACTTCTGAGAATCTCAAAAGGAGCTCGAGCAGCAGCACGCCCATGGCGTAAATGTGATGGATAATAACCCCACGGCCTGTACCCAGGAGCTAGAAACTCACCCAGCGCACGAGTGACTGCTCGGTGGGCGGCAGGGAGGGGTCGAGAGGCCTTCTTCCGGTAATGAGCTCCAGCAGCAGCACACCCATGGCGTAAATGTCAGTGCGCGCCGTGCTCTCATGCACCCATGCCAGCTCGGGGGCCACTGCTCCTGCTGCTAGCGCCTGAGAGGGGTTGGTGGGAAGAGGGTTTGTGTGGGTGAGATGCACACAAGCAGCAGCTGTGCTCTCATGCACCTATGCCAGCTCCAGAACAACTGCTCCTGCTGCCAGTGCCTGAATGGGGTTTGTGGGTAAAGAGAGGCAGCGCGGTGAGGTGCACACATGATGTGAGGCAGGGGACAACTGCACACAGCTGTGCTCTCATGCACCCATTGCAGCTCGGGGGCAACTTCACCTGCTGCCAGTGATTGAACGGAATGGGAGGAAGTTAGGCAGAGGGGTTGCGGGGGTGATTTGCTTTGCACACATGTGTGTGAGGCAGGGGATAGATGTGCTCCCATGCACCCATGGCAGCTCGGGGGCAACTTCACCTGCTGCCAGTGATTGAACGGAATGGGGAAAAGGCAGGAGGGTGGAATGGGGAATGGGCCTTGAGGTGCTTTGTGTGCCTCTGCCTATGTGTGCAAGCATAGAGGCAAATGTGCATGAGCGTGCGGGCGGGCGGGCGTGTGAGGGAGAGTACACACTTATCTAAGTAACGGAAGAATTAACTGCAGAGGAGGCGAGGCTCACGAGGGAGGTCAGAAAGACATACCACGGAGGAAGCGGGCATGGCAGAGGGCTTGGAAGCGAGGAGCTCAAGGGATTGAAGGCAGTGGGGGGATTGTGCTGTGTAGCAGTGGAGAAGAACTAGCAGAGCGAAACGGCAGGCTTACCACAGAGGAAGCGGGCATGGCAGAGGGCTTGGAAGCGAGGAGCTCAAGGGATTGAAGGCAGTGGGGGGATTGTGTTGTGTAGCAGTGGAGAAGAACTAGCAGAGCGAAACGGCAGGCTTACCACAGAGGAAGCGGGCATGGCAGAGGGCTTGGAAGCGAGGAGCTCAAGGGATTGAAGGCAGTGGGGGGATTGTGCTGTGTAGCAGTGGAGAAGAACTAGCAGAGCGAAACGGCAGGCTTACCACAGAGGAAGCGGGCATGGCAGAGGGCTTGGAAGCGAGGAGCTCAAGGGATTGAAGGCAGTGGGGGGATTGTGTTGTGTAGCAGTGGAGAAGAACTAGCAGAGCGAAACGGCAGGCTTACCACAGAGGAAGCGGGCATGGCAGAGGGCTTGGAAGCGAGGAGCTCAAGGGATTGAAGGCAGTAGTCAGAGAGATAGGCTGTTGAGTCCTGTGCCACCACCACTGATGTCGATGTGAGGTCCTGGTGGGTCATCTGGTGGTTGGAAGTGGTTCAGGGTTGGGAAGGGAGAAAAGGGAGGAAAAGGAGGAAAGCGATGGATCAACGGTTGAGGGATTGAAGGCAGTCGTCGGAAAGATAGGCTGTTGAGTCCTGTGCTACCACCACTGATGTGGATGTGAGGTCCTGGTGGGTCAACTGGTGGTAAAGGGGGACAGGGAGGAAAGGAATGTGCAGAGGAGTCGTGTGCGATTAGCAGCAATTAGAAGGCTTAAGATGTGATGTGAGGGCCTGGTGGATCATCTTTCGGTGGGGGCAAGAAGAAACGAGGGAGAACGGAGGAGCATTTTGAGGCGCCTCAAAATGTGACTTTTGAGAATTCTCAAAAGTCACTCCAATATAGCTGCAAAATCGTACCTCAAAATCGTACCTCAAAATCGTACCTCAAAATCGTACCTCAAAATCGTACCTCAAAATCGTACCTCAAAATCGTACCTCAAAATCGTACCTCAAAATCGTACCTCAAAATCGTACCTCAAAATCGTACCTCAAAATCGTACCTCAAAATCGTACCTCAAAATCGTACCTCAAAATCGTACCTCAAAATCGTACCTCAAAATCGTACCTCAAAATCGTACCTCAAAATCGTACCTCAAAATCGTACCTCAAAATCGTACCTCAAAATCGTACCTCAAAATCGTACCTCAAAATCGTACCTCAAAATCGTACCTCAAAATCGTACCTCAAAATCGTACCTCAAAATCGTACCTCAAAATCGTACCTCAAAATCGTACCTCAAAATCGTACCTCAAAATCGTACCTCAAAATCGTACCTCAAAATCGTACCTCAAAATCGTACCTCAAAATCGTACCTCAAAATCGTACCTCAAAATCGTACCTCAAAATCGTACCTCAAAATCGTACCTCAAAATCGTACCTCAAAATCGTACCTCAAAATCGTACCTCAAAATCGTACCTCAAAATCGTACCTCAAAATCGTACCTCAAAATCGTACCTCAAAATGCACCTCAAAATCGTACCTCAAAATCGTACCTCAAAATCGTACCTCAAAATCGTACCTCAAAATCGTACCTCAAAATCGTACCTCAAAATCGTACCTCAAAATCGTACCTCAAAATCGTACCTCAAAATCGTACCTCAAAATCGTACCTCAAAATCGTACCTCAAAATCGTACCTCAAAATCGTACCTCAAAATCGTACCTCAAAATCGTACCTCAAAATCGTACCTCAAAATGCACCTCACTGCTTGGGGGCCAAGAAGAAATGAGGGAGAACGGAGGAGACAAGATGCAGAAAGAGACGAGACAAAGTTGATCGGTCTTACGGGCTTACCCGCAGGTTTAGGAGCCTTTAGGGCTTGAGAGCACAGAGGCCTTGAGGCCACACCTGCGGGCACTGAAGTGAATTTCTGAGGCGCCTCAACGACCGGTTGATGGGTCTTAAGGGCTCTTAATGGCTTGATGGGTCTTAAGGGCTTACCCGCGGGTTGAGGAGCCTTTAGGGCTCAAGAGCACAGAGGCTTTAAGGCCACACCCGAGGGCACTGAAGCAAGCGAGCTGGGTTCTGATGGCTGACCTGTGGGTTGAGGGAGTGCAGGAAGCGCAGCCCCTCCGCCACGTCCTTTAAAGTCCCACGTGGTAACATCAAACATACAACTGGATGAGGAACTGAGAGTGGGTTGGGCTTAAGGCCTTACTTGCGGGTTGAGGGAGTGCATTCGGCTCAGTCAGACCCTCCGCCACATCCCTTGCATGTTTCACCCGGTATCATCATACATAAGAGCTGGGGGCGCAAGAAACACAGGGGCTTTAAGGGCTCTCACCTGCGGGTTGAGGGAATGCAGGAGACGCAGCCCCTCCGCCACATCCCTTGCACGTCCCACGTGGGGGCCTGAGAAAACTGGGCTTTAAGGGCTGACCTGCGGGTTGAGGGAGTGCAGGAAGCGCAGCCCCTCCGCCACATCCCTGGCGATGGACACCCGCACGTTCCATGGCAGCACCCGGTCCAACGAGTCTGGTGGGCGAGGGGATATGGGGGTTAATAATGGGGAAAGAAAAATGGACATGGGTGGAGAGATCGTAGCGATGGACACCCGCACGTTCCATGGCAGCACCCGGTCCAACGAGTCTGGTGGGCGAGGGGATATGGGGGTTAATAATGGGGAAAGAAAAATGGACATGGGTAGAGAGATCGTAGCGATGGAAACCCGCACGTTCCATGGCAGCACCCGGTCCAACGAGTCTGGTGGGCGAGGGGATATGGGGGTTAATAATGGGGAAAGAAAAATGGACATGGGTGGAGAGATCGTAGCGATGGACACCTGCACGTTCCATGCACCCAGTCCAACGAGTCTGGTGGGGCAGTGGATTGAGAACGGAGACGGGGAAAAAGAATGGAGATGGGGAAAAGAGGCATCCCGATTGGGTGGTCCATGGAGGTAGATAGAGCGTGTTCCCAACACCTTGAGGGCATGTTCCCATCCCATCACCACCACACCACCCCTCCCCTCTCCCAACATCCTGAGAGCAGTCTAACCCTAAACCCTGAACCTGAGCAGCAACCACCACCGCATTTCAGCCTGCAAGCAACCCCAGGCACACCTCATAACCGCTTCTCACCGTGGAGATACGTCTCGAGCGTGGCAGCACCAGGCGGGAGAGAGTACACAATCATGCGGCTGCCTCTCAGATAATCCGCACAGAAGCCCAACACCTTGAGCAGCCCTCAGCACCGCACCTCACCGTGCAAACAACCTCAGGCACACCTCAACACCGCTTCTCACCGTGCAAATATGTCTCGAGGGTGGCAGCACCAGGCGGGAGAGAGTACACAATCATGCGGCTGCCTCTCAAATAATCCGCACAGAACCCCAACACCTTGAGCAGCATGCTCCCATCCCCACCGCCACCCCCCTCCCCCCCTGCAGCTCCCCCGGCCTGCATGCGCGCAAACACGTCGAGTGCAGCGGCAAAGGTCTCCCTGGGCTCTGAGTTGAGCACGTCCACCTGAGCCACCGCTATGAAGCTGCGGTCTGGAAGCATGCCCCTGCATATTGGGGCATGGGACAGGGTGGGGGCAGGAATGAGTAGGGAACAGGGGACAAGGTGAAGGCAAAGGTCTCCCGGGCCTCTGACTTGAGCACGTCCACCTGAGCCACCACTATGAAGCTGCGGTCCGGTCTGGTAGCATGCCCCTGCATAGTAGAGCATGAGAGGAAGTGGGGGAAAGGGTGGTGGTGGGACAGGGGACAAGAGGAACGCAAAGGTCTCTCGGGGCTCTGAGCTGAGCACATCGACTTGAGCCACCGCTATGAAAGCTGCAGTTTGGGAGCATGCCTCTGGGGAATGGGCACATAACCACAGTCACAAATACAAGAAGGTGGTGCACAAAACGTGTGTATAATCACCGCATGGTACGTGAGCAGGCTGCAACTCTTCGAATGTGCCTGTAGGTGAGCCTTCTGTGACTATAACGAACGTGCCTGAAGGTGAGGAGGCTGTGCTCCCGCTGGGCAAAGAGGTTCTCCTTCTCCGGAGAGAAGTTGCCCGTGGCTATAACAGATGCGCCTGTAGGGTACTTTGGAGTCGACTCAAAAGCAGACTCATGACACGCGGTTTTTAGACTGTCGGGCCCAGTTCCAACGACAAGGGTTGTTGGAGACTTTGTCTACGTCTACCCTAGTTGGAGAACAGAGCCAAAGCTATTTTCTAGGGCTATACTCTGTCTGTTTGTTATATAGGGGTTAGCTTTACTTGCTACTGAATAGGAGTTCGGCACTGATGAAGGTCTGATCGGGGTTTTCCCCCCCGATAGGCCGAAACATGATTGTCTTTGTCTTGTTTTAATCAAGAGACGAGTTCCTGCGCAAGCCTTTTCTTTAGCTGAGCTTTCAGTTTAGTGGACGGATTTTTATAAGGCTTTTGTCCTACTGCTAAAAGGGTCTCTATCTCGCTGCTCTTCCCCGATGAGTGAGGACCCGTGGGACCTCACATTCGTTCTCCGGGGAGAAGTTGCCTGCGGCTATAACGAATGCGCCTATAGGGTATAGGATGTGACTACAAGAAACGTGCCTGTATGTGAGGAGGCTGTGCTCCCGTTGAGCAAAGAGGTGATCCGGAGAGAAGTTGCCCGTGGCGAGCTGCAGCTCCTCCAGAGAGAAGGGCCTGAGAGACTGCGAGGCGCCCACAGCTGGGAGAGAAAGGACAGCCGTTGGAGGAGGGAGAGAGATGGGAAGAGATAGGGGTGGGTCGCGGGGTGAGGTGAGGGAGAGTAGTGACGAGTTTGATGAGTAGTGAGGGAGTTTGATGAAGGAGACGTCTCAAAAACAACCTCATCACACGTGGGTAGAGATAGGGGTGGGTCGCTGGGTGAGGTGAGGGAGAGTAGTGATGAGTTGGCTGTGGCGAGCTGCAGCTCCTGCAGTGAGAATGGCCTGAGAGACTGTGAGGCGCGGACAGCTGTGAGGCGAGGGGGTAAACAAGGGAAAGGGGCAGGGCGTGTGCAATTGTGAGTTTCAGATAGGAGCCACGGAGTGGCGAGCTGAAGCTCCTGCAGTGAGAGAAGGGCCCCAAATGTCATGGCTAAGGCCATGAGAGCGTGAGGGGGAGGAGGGGGAGGAGGAAGAGGAGAGCGAGAAGGAGGGGGAGGAGGAAGAGGAGGGCGAGAAGGAGGGGGAGGTGGAACAGGGAAGAGGCGGCAGGGAGAATGGAGGAAGTCGGAGAGACACACTCATTTGAATGAGAGAGTGCGTGAGAGAATGAGAGAGTGAGTGAGAGAATGAGAGAGTGAACGACCAAACTTCATGGCAAGGCAAAGGCCATGGCGGCAGAGGGCGAGGGGAGGAGGCGGCAGGAAGGCGGGAGGAGGCAGCAGGGAGAGAGAGATAAGGAAGGAAACGTGGGAAGGGAAAGCAAGTGAGAGAGGGAGAAGAGAGGAACTCACTCATAGAGCGACCAAACTTCATGGCAAAGGCCATGGCAGCAGAGGGCGAGGGGGAGGTGGCAGCAGCAAGGCCAGAGGAGCCTGCAGCAGCGGAAGCAGAGGAAGCAGGGTGCACCCCTGCTGCCACGTTGTAGGCATCATCGGGGTCCAGCGCCTGGGAGAAGGTGGCCGTGGTTGGAGGTACGGACAGGTGCTGGTAGGCTCTGTGCAGTGGAGTGGGGTGGGGTGGGGTGGGCCAGGGTGGGGTGAGAAAAAGAGGAGCACTACCCCACTCCACCCCACTCAAACCCACTCCAACCACCTGGACTTGCTGGATGCGCTCCAGCCCCAGCCCGTCTGTCCGGTGCGCTTGTTGTGGGCGCAGTTGCGGATGCAGTAGATGCAGAAAGCACAGGTGCTGACTCAGGATTCACCTACAAATCCCTACCACTCCCAACCGTGCTCCACCCACCTGGACTTGCTGGACGCACTCCAGCCCCAGCCCGTCTGGCCTGTGCGCTTGTTGTGGGCGCGGTTGCGGATGCAGTAGATGCAGGAGATGAGAAGCGATGTGAGCATGATGGCTGCGAGCAGCGAGAGAGCCACGATCCACGCTGGGGACAGGTCGTCATCTCCCTGCGCGTCAAAGTGCTCTGCGGGAGACAGATGGGGCAGAAAGAGGACTGGAGATAGAGGCGAGGAGACCAAGCAGGGGGTGAGGGAGCGAGAGAGAGCCACGATCCGCACAGGGCGTACCCTCCCCTGGTAAGCACATGCTCTCCCTCGGCCATCCGTGTCACAGTGCCCCAGCTACACCTGCCCCAGCTGCACCTGCCCCAGCTGCACCTGCCCCAGCTACACCTGCCCCAGCTACACCTGCCCCAGCTACACCTGCCCCAGCTACACCTGCCCCAGCTACACCTGCCCCAGCTACACCTGCCCCAGCTACACCTGCCCCAGCTACACCTGCCCCAGCTACACCTGCCCCAGCTACACCTGCCCCAGCTACACCTGCCCCAGCTACACCTGCCCCAGCTGCACTTGCCCCAGCTGCACCTGCCCCAGCTGCACCTGCCCCAGCTACACCTGCCGCAATTGCACCTGCCCCAGCTGCACCTGCCTCGGCTGCACCTGCTCCATGCACGCATCCATCCACACTGCCTTGCGCCAAGCTTTACCCTGAGACTAGACTCTCACGTTCACAGCACTGGCATGGAGCGTATCCCTCCCCAGGTAGGCACACGCTCTCCCCCGGCCATCCGTTGTCACAGTGGCACAGCTATACCTGCCCCAGCTGCACACATCCATCCATCCTGCCTTGCACCAATAACCAGTCAATACCCATAGGCACTCACGTTCATGGCACTGGCACGGGGCGCATCCCTCTCCAGGGAGGCACACGCTTTCTCCCGGCCATCTGCTGTCGCAGTGACACAGATGCTCCTGCCCCGTGCACACATCCATTCATACTGCCTTGCACCAAGCTACACCCCGAGCCGAGACACTCACGTTCACGGCACTGGCATGGAGCGTATCCCTCCCCAGGCATGCACGCACACTCTCCCCCGGCCATCCATTGTCGCAGTGGCACAGCTGCACCTGCCCCTGTTGAAGTTGCCCCACATCCCCAATCACACCCCTCCCAGCCCCTCCCAACCCAACACATCCACTCACGTTCACGGCATTGGCACGGAGCGTATCCCTCTCCAGGCAGGCACACACTCTCCCCCGGCCATCCGTTGTCGCAGTGGCACAGCTGCACCTGCCCAACTGCGCACGGCTTGCGCACGATACTGTTCACGGGCGGCAGGGGCGGCGGGTCCATTGGCACTGGGCGGCACCGGCCGTCCTTTGTGAACATGACGCAGAGCTGCGGGTTGTTCTTGAAGCTGGGCATGGGTAGGATTGGGGTAAGGGAGGCGTGGGTGAAAAGGGATGGGGAAACGTTGGGGAGTCCTATCCTATCCGAGGGCACAATAGAGAATTTGGTACTGCATGCGCAGGTAGGTGAGCTGATCATTCATTTGACTCGAGATTCTAAGGCACGGTGCCACACACTGAGCTGATCTTGTTTCCATAGTTGACGCGAGGTTCTAAACTATCGAGCCACACTCATGCGTTGAGGTGCTCCTTAAATTCGAGGCCGACGAGAGCCCCGTAGAAGTGGTTGTACTGCATGCGCAGGTAGGTGAGCTGACCTCACGCTCAAGGTTCAAAGCCACCATCAGTAACCGCCCTTACTCACACGTTGAGATGCTCCCTGAACTTGAGGACGAGAGCCCCGTAAAACTGGTTGTACTGCATGCGCAAGTAGGTGAGCTGATCCCTGAGTCGACTCAACTCAAGACTCAAATCAAAGGCAGTTGAAACCGGCCTTACTTACGCATTAAGATGCTCTTTGAACTCGAGGTCCAGCGCGCCGTAAAGCTGGTTGTACTGCATACGCAAGTAGGTGAGCTGATCCCTGAGTCGACTCAAGACTCAAATCAAAGGCAGTTGAAACCGGCCTTACTTACGCATTGAGATGCTCTTTGAACTCGAGGCCCAGCGCGCCGTAAAGCTGGTTGCACTGCATACGCAAGTAGGTGAGCTGTTCCCTGAGTCGACTCGAGACTCAAATCAAAGGCAGCTGAAACCGGCCTTACTTACGCATTAAGATGCTCTTTGAACTCGAGGCCCAGTGCGCCGTAAAGCTGGTTGTACTGCATGCGCAGGTAGGTGAGCTGATCCCTGAGTCGACTCAAGATTCAAAGGCACTGGAAGGAAATCCCCACTCACGCATTGAGATGCTCTTTGAACTCGAGGCCCAGTGCACCATAGAGCTGGTTGTACTGCATGCGCAGGTAGGTTAGCTTGGGCAGCGACGCTATTGCAGATGGCACCTTGCCCGTGAGATTATTGTGATCCAACATGCTGGATGGGAGGGACAGGGGGGAGCAGGAACAAGGGAGGGGAGAGGGGAGAGGCAACCCTTGAGAGAGGTTATTGCAGATGGCACCTTGCCCGTGAGATTATTGTGATCCAACATGCTGGATGGGAGGGACAGGGGGGAGCGGGAACAAGGGAGGGGAGAGGGGAGAGGCAACCCTTGAGAGAGGTTATTGCAGATGGCACCTTGCCCGTGAGATTATTGTGATCCAACATGCTGGATGGGAGGGACAAAGAGGGGGGGGGGGGGGGGGGGGGGGGGGGGCGTGGGAGGGGAATGGGGAGGAGGGAAGGGGTGAGAGAGTGGTGGTCCATCTACCCCAATCATGCAAGGAGGCAGGATAGGAGAGGAGCAAAAAAAAGGAGGTAAGGAGGAGGGAAGGAGGGGTTAGAGGCCTACCAGGGTGGTTGCTGTGATCTCACACAAATTACAGAGCGGTGAGGGCAGTGCATGGTCCGATCACATTAAGACGACTCAGAAACTGAAACTAAAAAAATTGCTTTTTTGTGGCGCCTCGAGGCTCAAAAAACATAACCTACAGAGTGGTTAGGGCGGTGCATGCTCCGATTCCTTCTGGAACCGTGTCATTGAGATGGTTGAAACTTAGCGACCTGAGATGAGTGGCGGACAGGGATAGGCAGAGAACGGAGGGAGGTGAGGGACGAAGGAGCGCGCGCGCGCACACGCACGCACGCACGCACGCACGCGCGCGCGCGCGCGCACACACACACACACTCTCTAGAGAGGCAGCATTGTGGGCCGGGTGACGAGGCCTGGGAATGAACAAGGTAACTCCTGGCACTCGGAAGCAGCTTTGAGACGTCTCAAAACACGGCCGGGTGATGAGGCCTGGGAATGAACAAGGTAACTCCCGGCACTCAGAAGCAGCTTTGAGACGTCTCAAAACACGGCCGGGTGACGAGGCCTGGGAATGAACAAGGTAACTCCCGGCACTCAGAAGCAGCTTTGAGACGTCTCAAAACACGGCCGGGTGACGAGGCCTGGGAATGAACAAGGTAACTCCCGGCACTCAGAAGCAGCTTAGCCTTCGATACTCACAGGTGCTGCAGGCTGGTGAGTTGAGTGATGGAGTCTGGAATCGACCCCTCCAAGCTGTTCTCCTCCAAAGCTCTGACATTACATGAGCGTAGGACAAGGAGGAATAAGGAGATGTGCAAAGGGAGAAGAGGGGGTGTGTCAAGGGAGAAGAGGGGGTGTGTAAAGGGAATAGAGGAAATGTGCAAGGTGCAAAGAGGAGACCTGTAAGAGGGTACGGGGAGTCTTACAATGGAATAAGCGGGGCAACATGCAAGGGACGACATGCAAGGGACGACATGCAAGGGACGACATGCAAGGGACGACATGCAAGGGACGACATGCAAGGGACGACATGCAAGGGACGACATGCAAGGGACGACATGCAAGGGGCGGCATGCCACGGGAAACATGCAAGGGGCGGCATGCCACGGGAAACATGCAAGGGACGGCATGCCACGGGAAACATGCAAGGGGCGGCATGCCACGGGAAACATGCAAGGGGCGGCATGCCACGGGAAACATGCAAGGGGCGGCATGCCACGGGAAACATGCAAGGGACGGCATGCCACGGGAAACATGCAAGGGACGGCATGCCACGGGAAACATGCAAGGGACGGCATGCCACGGGAAACATGCAAGGGACGGCATGCCACGGGAAACATGCAAGGGACGGCATGCCACGGGAAACATGCAAGGGACGGCATGGAAGGGGAGCCGTCCAGAGCTCTCAAGACGTTGAACATACCATATCCCTTTTTCCCGGCCCACCCCAGCATCATCCCCTCCATAGTCACCCCCTCTTACAGCTTAGTTAGTCCCACGAGATTCCCAATGTCCTCTGGGATCTGCCCGTTGAGGTTGCACTCGCTCATCGTGCTGCAACAGAAGGAGAAAGGGAGGGAGGGAGGGAGGGAGAGAGGGAGGGAGGGAACGGAGTGGTGAGAAAGGGGAGAAATGCTTAGTGTGCGAGGGAAGAGGGATGAAAAAAATATTGGGATTTTCCCCTTGGGCTTGCACTCGCTCAACGTGCTGAAGCGACAGGGACGTGACGTGACGTGAGGGGGAGGGAGAGGAACGGACAGTGCCTTTAACATACAGAGCCTCAAAAAATTGCTCAGCGCATGCAAGGGACGAGGGATGAGGGGGATACTGGGAGGGGATATGCAGCGACAGGGACGAAGGAGTGGTGGAAAGGGAAGCGGAAGGGCAGAAGGGAAGCGCAAAACCTAAGACAACCAAACTCACAGGTCTTGCAGGGAGCTGAGAGCGGTGATGGCCGGTGGAATGGTGCTGTTGAGGTTTTCGTTGGTGCCCAGGTTGAGAGATTGCAGGTTGGTGAGTTGTGCGAGGGTGGCAGGGATGGTGCCGCTCAGATCGTTGGCTGACAGGTCGCTGAGGGGAAGGAAGGAATGGGTGCGGGGTTTAGAAAGGGGAATGGAGGGAATGAGGGAGGGAGAGAGGGAGGAAAAGGGGTGAGTTGGTAACAGAGGGGGGAAGGGGAGGAGGGAGGGAGGGAGGGAGGGAGGGAGGGAGGGAGGAGGTGAAAACGGGAGGGAAGGAGCGGTTGAGGGAGGGAGGGAGGAAGGGAGAGAGGAATGGAGGGGGGTAGACGGGAGGGAAGAGGGGGGAAGCCATGGGTACTACGGGACTGATAAGCTGAAAGGATAGCACAAAGTGGAAGGGGAAGTGATGGGGACGGGAAAAGTGTAGGAGCACAAAGGGAATGGTGCGCATACTTGGACAAGTGGGGGGGGGGTGTCATGGGAAAAGGGAAGCAACCAGGTGGGCATATGAGCCAGGTGGTTCTGGTCATGAGCCAGGTGGTTCTGGTCATATGAGCCAGGTGGTTCTGGTCATATGAGCCAGGTGGTTCTGGTCATGAGCCAGGTGGTTCTGGTCATATGAGCCAGGTGGTTCTGGTCATGAGCCAGGACCAAATCAGGGCAGTCAAGTTAAAACTTGATAAAATGGGCTTAAAGGGTCCGAGTAAATAAGGAGAAGACGAGAAAAGGCTTTAAAATTCGGTAACAGAATAAATAAGACGAGGAACAAGGCAAGGCGAGCGAGCATTGAGAGGAGCTGAGGCTTACAGGTATGTCAGCTTCTGGCAGAATTTGATTCTTGAAGGAATGTTGCTGGTTATCAAGTTGAACGATAGGTCCCTGTACGCACGCGCGCGGGGAGCGAGAAACAATGAGGGAGGGTGGGGAATGGCATTTGAATCAACTCAAAAGCTTCTAGCAGAACTTGATTCTTGAAGGAATGTTGCTGGTTATCATATTGAGGGAAAGGTTGGTGTGGTGTGGAGGAAGGTAGGGGGTAGGGGAAGGGTGGGGGGTGGGGGGGGGGGGAGAAGAGAGGAGGGGAGGGAGGAAGCGCACAAACACTTTCCTCACCTGCCTGCAACATGTATTTTTGGCGGTATTATATACTTTGCTCTTACGTCGTTCACATCACCTTCATGAAACCTTCATGAAAGTGCTGCTGGCCACAGGTTCTCTCAATGGTCCACCAGTTTTGAACCGTTTCAAGGGCATGTCCATCAATCATGGGTGTTTGTTTTGATCGACCTCTGAGCGTGCTATTTTGAGTCGACTCAAAACACAGTTCTGAGCCGTTTCAAGGGCATGTCCATCAATCACGGGTGTTTGTTTTGATCGACCACAGGGCGCGCTATTTTTGAAGGAACAATGCTCTTGAACAACCTTCATGTCGTACGAACATTGGATTCATCTCTTTGTTCCACTCACAACCGCTGTAGTGCAGGCAACGCAAGCTCTCAATGGTGCATGCTACTTTCGTTCGGGCATGCTACTTTCGTTCGGGCATGCTACTTTCGTTCGGGCATGCTACTTTCGTTCGGGCATGCTACTTTCGTTCGGGCATGCTACTTTCGTTCGGGCATGCTACTTTCGTTCGGGCATGCTACTTTCGTTCGGGCATGCTACTTTTGTTCGGGCATGCTATTTTCTGCAGACATGCAATCGAGACCATCCGTTCCTGGCACTCACAGGTGCTGCAGGCCTCGCAGGTTCTCAATGGTCCGCGGAATCGAGCCAAAGAAACGGTTGTTTGACAAATCGCTGCAAGAATGAAGCACCGGGGGGGGGGGGGGGACAGGTGGGGGAAAGGGTGGAAAGGAAGGAGCAGGAAAAGGGGAGAAGGGGGGGATGAGGGGTGCAGGTGCAGGTATATGGAGGGGGATGCCACAATACTACAACACAAAATCGTTGGACAGCTTAAGTCGAATTGGGAAGTCGCTGGATTCACCTTCGAGTCGCTGGAACTCACATCTTCTCCCTCTCCCTGAACTCACATCTTCTCAATCTTCAGAAGCTTTCCCAGCTTGGTTGACAGCGGCCCTGATAGTCGCATGCCGGAGAGTTCTCTGGAAAGAAGAGGATTGGGGGAAGGGGCAAAAGGAGAGCCAAGGAAATAGATCTTCCCAGCTTGGTCAAAAGAAGCCCTGACTGACAGTCGCATTCTCTAGATGCCTCAAGAATAAAGTTCTCTGGAGAGGAGAGGACTAAAAGGAAGGGCAAAAGGAGAGCAAGGAAAAAGTTTTTTTCCCAGCTTGGTCGGCAGACAGACACCCTGACAGTCACATTCTGGAAGAAATGTCTTCCCCCCAACCCAACCTTCCCAACAAGGCTCTCTCGAGAAGACAGCACTGCAGAAGGGGGTTTTGTTGGGGGGAAGTAGGGAGCGAAATGGAAGTACATGTGGGAAAAGGAGCATGTGGGAAAAGGAGCATGTGGGAAAAGGAGCATGTGGGAAAAGGAGCATGTGGGAAAAGGAGCATGTGGGAAAAGGAGCATGTGGGAAAAGGAGCATGTGGGAAAAGGAGCGTGTGGGAAAAGGAGCGTGTGGGAAAAGGAGCGTGTGGGAAAAGGAGCGTGTGGGAAAAGGAGCGTGTGGGAAAAGGAGCGTGTGGGAAAAGGAGCACGTGGGAAAAGGAGCGTGTGGGAAAAGGAGCGTGTGGGAAAAGGAGCGTGTGGGAAAAGGAGCGTGTGGGAAAAGGAGCGTGTGGGAAAAGGAGCGTGTGGGAAAAGGAGCGTGTGGGAAAAGGAGCGTGTGGGAAAAGGAGCGTGTGGGAAAAGGAGCATGTGGGAAAAGGAGCGTGTGGGAAAAGGAGCGTGTGGGAAAAGGAGCGTGTGGGAAAAGGAGCGTGTGGGAAAAGGAGCGTGTGGGAAAAGGAGCGTGTGGGAAAAGGAGCGTGTGGGAAAAGGAGCACGTGGGAAAAGGAGCACGAGCATGTGGGAAAAGGAGCACGTGGGAAAAGGAGCACGTGGGAAAAGGAGCACGTGGGAAAAGGAGCATGTGGGAAAAGGAGCGCGTGGGAAAAGGAGCGCGTGGGAAAAGGAGCGCGTGGGAAAAGGAGCGTGTGGGAAAAGGAGCGTGTGGGAAAAGGAGCGTGTGGGAAAAGGAGCGTGTGGGAAAAGGAGCGTGTGGGAAAAGGAGCGTGTGGGAAAAGGAGCGTGTGGGAAAAGGAGCGTGTGGGAAAAGGAGCGTGTGGGAAAAGGAGCGTGTGGGAAAAGGAGCGTGTGGGAAAAGGAGCGTGTGGGAAAAGGAGCGTGTGGGAAAAGGAGCGTGTGGGAAAAGGAGCGTGTGGGAAAAGGAGCGTGTGGGAAAAGGAGCGTGTGGGAAAAGGAGCGTGTGGGAAAAGGAGCGTGTGGGAAAAGGAGCGTGTGGGAAAAGGAGCGTGTGGGAAAAGGAGCGTGTGGGAAAAGGAGCGTGTGGGAAAAGGAGCGTGTGGGAAAAGGAGCGTGTGGGAAAAGGAGCGTGTGGGAAAAGGAGCACGTGGGAAAAGGAGCACGTGGGAAAAGGAGCACGTGGGAAAAGGAGCACGTGGGAAAAGGAGCACGTGGGAAAAGGAGCACGTGGGAAAAGGAGCACGTGGGAAAAGGAGCACGTGGGAAAAGGAGCACGTGGGAAAAGGAGCACGTGGGAAAAGGAGCACGTGGGAAAAGGAGCACGTGGGAAAAGGAGCACGTGGGAAAAGGAGCACGTGGGAAAAGGAGCACGTGGGAAAAGGAGCACGTGGGAAAAGGAGCACGTGGGAAAAGGAGCGTGGGAAAAGGAGCGTGTGGGAAAAGGAGCGTGTGGGAAAAGGAGCGTGTGGGAAAAGGAGCGTGTGGGAAAAGGAGCGTGTGGGAAAAGGAGCGTGTGGGAAAAGGAGCGTGTGGGAAAAGGAGCGTGTGGGAAAAGGAGCGTGTGGGAAAAGGAGCGTGTGGGAAAAGGAGCGTGTGGGAAAAGGAGCGTGTGGGAAAAGGAGCATGTGGGAAAAGGAGCATGTGGGAAAAGGAGCATGTGGGAAAAGGAGCATGTGGGAAAAGGAGCGCGTGGGAAAAGGAGCGTGTGGGAAAAGGAGCGTGTGGGAAAAGGAGCGTGTGGGAAAAGGAGCACGTGGGAAAAGGAGCGTGTGGGAAAAGGAGCGCGTGGGAAAAGGAGCGCGTGGGAAAAGGAGCGCGTGGGAAAAGGAGCGCGTGGGAAAAGGAGCGTGTGGGAAAAGGAGCGTGTGGGAAAAGGAGCGTGTGGGAAAAGGAGCGTGTGGGAAAAGGAGCGTGTGGGAAAAGGAGCGTGTGGGATAAGGAGCATGTGGGAAAAGGAGCATGTGGGAAAAGGAGCATGTGGGAAAAGGAGCATGTGGGAAAAGGAGCATGTGGGAAAAGGAGCATGTGGGAAAAGGAGCATGTGGGAAAAGGAGCATGTGGGAAAAGGAGCATGTGGGAAAAGGAGCATGTGGGAAAAGGAGCATGTGGGAAAAGGAGCATGTGGGAAAAGGAGCATGTGGGAAAAGGAGCATGTGGGAAAAGGAGCATGTGGGAAAAGGAGCATGTGGGAAAAGGAGCATGTGGGAAAAGGAGCACGTGGGAAAAGGAGCACGTGGGAAAAGGAGCACGTGGGAAAAGGAGCACGTGGGAAAAGGAGCACGTGGGAAAAGGAGCACGTGGGAAAAGGAGCACGTGGGAAAAGGAGCACGTGGGAAAAGGAGCACGTGGGAAAAGGAGCACGTGGGAAAAGGAGCACGTGGGAAAAGGAGCACGTGGGAAAAGGAGCACGTGGGAAAAGGAGCACGTGGGAAAAGGAGCACGTGGGAAAAGGAGCACGTGGGAAAAGGAGCACGTGGGAAAAGGAGCACGTGGGAAAAGGAGCACGTGGGAAAAGGAGCACGTGGGAAAAGGAGCACGTGGGAAAAGGAGCATGTGGGAAAAGGAGCATGTGGGAAAAGGAGCATGTGGGAAAAGGAGCATGTGGGAAAAGGAGCATGTGGGAAAAGGAGCATGTGGGAAAAGGAGCATGTGGGAAAAGGAGCATGTGGGAAAAGGAGAATGTTGCGGTGCTCTCGGACCAGCACAGGATGAGAGGTAAATGGAAACGGTGCAATGTTTGGGAAAAAGGGAGGACGCGTACGGGGAAGGCAGAGGGGAGCAAGTGAGTGATGTTGGTCCACTACCACTCCCCTCACTCCCCTCACTCACTTCCCCTCGCTCTCCTCCTCACTCCAATCCTCCCACTCACAGCGCGTTCACATAGAGCTTCTTGGAGCTGTCTGCAGTGTGCTCGGTGCACGTGACGCCCCTCCACTTGCCCTTGCTCATCTCGCTCACTCACTCCCCCCTCGCCCTTGCTTTTCTCTACTCACTCCCCCCCTTTTTCTCACTCACAACGCTTTCACGTAGAGCTTTTCGGAGCTGTCTGCAGTGCGGTCGGTGCTTGTGACGCCCCTCCACTGTGATCGTTTTCACTCACTCACACCATCCCCAGTCTCCCCCCACTCACAGCGCTTTCACGTAGAGCTTCTCGGAGCTGTCTCCAGTGCGGTCAGTGCAGGTGACGCCCCTCCACTGCCCCAGGCACGGGTCCTCCCCCTGCCACGTCTGCAGGGCAGCCGGGTTGCCCCACGCCTTGCGCATCGCAATCAGCGCATCCACTTCGGGGAAAAGGGTAGGGAGGTGGGGGCGAGGGAGGAGGGAGGGATGGTGAGTTGGTGAGACTTTCTGTCGTGTGAATGTGGCGTGAAGGGCAGCCGGGTTGCCCCACGCCTTGCGCATCGCGATCAGCGCATCCACTGCGGGGAAGAGAGTAGGATGGAGGGAGGGAGATGGGAGAGGGGAAAGGGGGAGTTGGCGAGGCAGCCTGGCATGTGACGATGGTCTGCAAGGCTGCCGGGCTGCCCCACGCCTTGCGCATCGCAATCAGTGCATCCACTGCAGGACAGAAAAGAGGGTGGAATGAAGGAGCGGGGAAGGGGGGAAAGAGGGTGGAAAATTCTGCCACGTCTGCAGGGCTTCTGGGCTGCCCCACGCCTTGCGCATCGCAATCAGCGCATCACCTGGCGGGGAGAGAGTAGGGTGGAAGAGAGGGGGATGGGAGAGGGGAAAGGGGGAGTTGGTGGGGCTGTCTGCCATATAAAGATGGCGTGTAGGGCTGTGGGGCTGCCCCACGCCTTGCGCATCGCAATCAGCGCATCGACTGTGGGGAAGAGGGTGCCGATGAGATGAGAGGGAAGATTTGTTGCCTAGGGACAGATTTAGTCGACTCATCATTCACTTCGCTGGAAACCGCCTGTCGATGAACAACGATGATCACCTTCCATGTAGAAACTCAAGCAACTCATAACGGGGGTTGCTTATAACGGTTGGCATAAATCCAACCGACTCTGATACATCTCGAAACTCGCCTGTATTGGCACGAGACGAGCCTGCTAGACCATGTGCCCGTTCCCGGGCACTGTTCACGCAGCGTTTGAGTTGAACGCGAGCCAGAATAAAGAAAGGTCAGAGTTCGAGGTGCACAATATAATGTAGGCGCTTTTTGCGGACTCTGAAAACTGCCTGAGACCGCGAACGAAACGCCGGACGTACAGCTGCCCAGTGAAGTTCAAAACGGGACAGAAACGCTAAGCGGTTCGAGCTAACCTCAGTCATCCAGAAAGTAAGGCGAATGTTTGAGCAGCGTACGCCCGTCCGACTACGTCGCACCTATTGGCACCCCCTCGCTGAACCGATCGACCCTCGCGCCGTACGGGGATACTGCAGGCTACATTCCTGACGGGGTTGCAGCGCTGAAACACTACCTTCGCGATGTTCAGATGAGCGTCGGCTGTGATGCCGCTTTGCGACGTGACGAGATCCAAGTATTCGAGGCGAATGGCGTCGTACGGTCGAAGTGCTACCTATGAGACGCCTCAATACTCGAACATATCAGCAGTACATTTGAGCTAAAACGCTACCTCCCCCACGTCACAACAAGCCTCGAATGTATCAGATTAGTAGGGCGTCGTACGATCGCAATGCCACCTTTCCGATGCCACGAAGATCAAATACGTTAAATTAAACGGGCGCCGTACGGTCGAAACGCTATCGTGCTTGGCTAAAGTGGACATGTCAGTCAAAGTGGACCACGAATGAGCACAGGGACTCACCGTCCCATTTGTGCACCGTTCGATGTTGCGCGACAGCTCTCGAGGTCCACAACCCTAGAATCTGCACCGACAGCAGGAGTGCGGTGGCGAAAGGAAGCTGCGCGCTGAGCCGAAACGCCGGCGACATTGCTTGACGCGTGAACCACATTGGAGCTCGACTTAGTTTGTGCGGTCGTCTTAGATTCGGTTCTAACTAATCGATTCAGGGCTCGGAAACGTTCGCGACCTCGTGTTCCCCGTCTGCGGACGATCGCGTTGCCCCTTTCGCGAACCCAGACTTCTGACACGTCAACTGATGCGTTGACGAAACGAGAGAAAGCGGGAAGGAAAGCTATGGCGAAGAACACGAGTGAAATCAACTCATAAAACGAAGGAGGTATGATAAGTAAACTTCCCCTCTACCGTTTCTGACGACTTAGCTTAGCACACTAGCATTATGGTAGGCAAGCTTTGAGGACGCGTCACAATTGCAACACCGACCTTGTGTAGGCTCGATGTTCTCAGTCTACAGTGAGTTTGCTAATTGGCGAAAATATGTATCCTTGTTTCGCTTATCTTTACGCGAAGATCGTGAGCTTGCAGATTGACGAGATCGTATGGCTCGAAATGCGATATCGATCGTGCGATTGGCAGCGTGGGAAACGAAATCGCGACACCAGTGTCAGCCACGATCGATCGCAGTCCCATACGGTCGGTCACTTTCGATGTGGTAACAAGGCGACATCACAAATTGTCGGTGGACGACGTCATGACACTGAAACATAATCGCTCGTGCGCGTCGTCACAACCCAGGCGAAACTGTACGACACGCCACCGAACCACGGCACCTGCGCTAGAAGCTGGCTGTACACTTGCAAATCTGGTCGTGTCCCACTTGGCTCGGAGAAGCAGATGAAACCCATTTTTTCATACGCGATGCACACATTTTCGGTGTTCGGTCCCGATCCTCCCCGGTGTTGCAATTGTGACGCGTCCTAAGGACCATTGTGGTGAGCAAGTAAGGACCACATAGATGTGGTGCTGGTGCTGTGTAGAAAGAAATTCTCCTCTATGCTGACCAACAGCAAATCACTGCAGAATGGTTAGCGGGTAACGATTACCGTACGGCCTTGGAATTGCCAAGTTCGGGACCAGATCAAGGGTCAGACGAGCCTTGAAGTGGGTACATGTTTCCATCGAACGGCGCAGGCTCATCTAAGGGTGGAGGCAGCGGAGATGGAAGGAGTCGGGCGGCGGAAAGGGGAGGTGCCTCGTCTAGTACGTAGTCAGCATTTCAAAAAGTACTCGAGGGTTCACCACGAGTCACACGAGGTGATAAACGGTCGGAAAATTACCACTTTGTTACATTTCATGAGTCGTATATCAGAGCGACCCCCAAATCGTAACTCGAAACCTCATGATATCCTGGGCACCACAAGGAACCAGGAATTTTCAGAGCGACCCGGAGTTTACGTGCGCTACTGATGCCAGTGGAGGAGCTACGGAAATAATAACGCGAACAAATGTGAGCAAAGAATGTACAGTAACAATGGATGCATATTTGGCATTTCGGAAACAAGCATCTATGAATTGAAACTACGTCTATCGATAGGCATATCGATCCACAGCTCATCCATCAATTAAATTAAAATTTAAATGTCAGAAAATGAGTGAATCTCGCATATGAACATTCATAAACGGGCTCTCCCCCACTCAGCTGCATGCGTATTGTATCATGCTATTGTATCATGCTATTGTAAACGTGTGCTACTATATGGAGCAAGTGTGCCATGGCTGCGCTTGTTTCATCCCCTAATCGCAGGTTTGATGCACTTCAAGCAATCAGCTTCGGCCGTACAGGTCATCCCTCGGCGGCACCTGAAGTACAGTAGCAGTAATGCGCCAGAACCTGCCCCATCTACCTGATTAGTGTATTAGCAGGAGTCCTTACAATGATCAGGCGCAATTACCTAATCTTCTTGACCCCAACCATGAAACCCTTTTTGGTCGCCCGGACAACGGTTTCTACGTAAAACTCTGGAGAATGCCTAGGCAACCCTGTCTGTCGAGGCAAGTTTCGAGAGTTTCAGTTGAGAACAAACCATCCTCGAGGTAGACTAAGGAAGGCTAGGGATGTTAGCGGTTTGCGTGTCACCTTCCCCGGTCAAACGCCAAACGAACCAAACGCCACCGTCAACCCTTGTTCCTTCCACCACATAAATTTGTCTGGCCAACAACCTGAGCTTCTCTTCCTCCCCCCCACACACCTTGTCATCAGAAGGTGAAGGGGAGGTGTGTCTCTGTCTCAGTCCAATCTACAGTACTGGAGACGCACTGGAGCCTCGGCGGCGGCACCTGGAAGGTACTGTACAAGCGTCGATCACATCTCACAGTAAGAACGGAACGGAAACCAACGGACGGACTGGGCTGGGCTGGGACGGAACGAAGCGGAGCGCCCCAATGGAGCCGCGGGTTGTTACTGTACATGCAATGGAGCCCCAACCCAATGGACCTCGATGTCAGGGCCCGTGTCTTTTGGTGTAGAGGTTTAAAAATAGGGTCGGACTTTTGCTGGTAGCCAGCTTCGCCGATTTCGTTTAGAGCTGTTGACGACGATCGTTTGTTCAAGCTCAAAGATGAAGAAAACAGCAGGACACTAAACTTCGGTCGACCGCATTCTCTAAGCCTCGAGCACGTTTCTGCAAACGTGTGTTCTTCTGCCCACGGACGAAAAAGCTGCGGGCTTCGCGACGGTAACGAGCCATCTCGTGACAAGTTTCACAAATTTGATTTGTTGACGCACTTTACTGTATAAACCTGGTAACCTACGAAATTGGGCGCGACTCGGATTTTTCTGTACATATTCGAACTTTGAAAGTCGAGCATTTCTTGTGCCATGTGCTTCACTTCAAAGGTGAACACGCGACTCGACAGTAAAATGATGAGATAGTCGACTACAGGTCGACCAGTGTTCACCTGCCAAAACTCGACTAAAAAACGGGAACTTTGGCCTAAATTCCAAAAGACACGCGCCCTTACGGCACATTGGGAGGTACCGTACCCGCACAGAACTGTCTGTCGCACCCGCACTGTTCCGTTCTGTTCTGTATCCTCGGCTCCCCTCCCCTCTCTCCCCTCTGCTCCAAGCTCCCTCCTCCCAACCATCTCGATTAGCGATTCCTTCCATCCCAGCAACTAGTATTTTCTTCCTCAGCAAGCTGCTCCTCTCCTCTCCCCTAGAGCTCCGTCCATTCGTAGAAGCCTTAAAGTCAAACAGTTTTTCAGTAACGGTCCCTGAAAATAGTAGGGCTCCGGCCTTCACGGTTCACTAGCTATTTAGTGGAAGATTGACGTTTTGATTCCCAACTTGCTCGTCGGCTGTAGTTAGTACTATCGAGTCCTTACTACACTCGGAAAAAGGGTCCAGCGAGAATTGCATCATAGCATCGGATCTTTCTGATCTCTAATAGGTATCGCGATTCGTCGCGTCAGACTAGCATTCGTGTCGCGTAGGCGCTGCCTCTTCTGACAGTACGATGGCATCACACGGCGGCATAACCGCGAGTCGGGCCCTCTGTTTATTCGTGTCCCTTATCGCGTACGTCAGCGGCGCCGCCAGCCAGATGCTGACAGACGACCAAGGTATATACTCGCCAAACCGCCGCTCTCCCTTTTGAGACGTCCCAATACAAAATTAACTTTCACGTCGCCTCGCCAACAGCCAGATGCTGACAGACGACCAAGGTACTAAGGCCAAACCCACCAACACCCTTAGGGAAATGTTCGGTAGGGCCCTCTGTAAATTTCTACAACCACACGCCTGAAATTTCTAAACCTATTCCTTTGCTAAAGAAACTGCTGCCACGTAATGTCTCCCACCACGAAGTGGTGTTCCTTAAATGTTCGGTAGGGCGTTTATTCGTGTCCCTGTCAGCGGCGCCGCCGAACAGACGCTCCCAAATCCGCCTTCCCCTAACAGGCGCTCCCCATCCCGCCTTCTCCGAGCAGGCGCTCCCCTTTCCGCCTTCCCCGAGCCGGCGCTCCCTTTCCGCCTTCCCCGAGCCGGCGCTCCCCTTTCCGCCTTCCCCGAGCCGGCGCTCCCCTTTCCGCCTTCCCTTTACCAGCGTCCTCCCCTTTTCGCCGACTCGGGGAAGCAGCTATCGTAGAACTGCGACCTTTATCGTAGCAACCATCTGCTATCTGCCTGTTCCTGTCGTGTATCGCGTACGTCACTAGAAGCCTGCCACGCGTTGCCACACTGTTCCCTTTACACAGCAATTCGCTATGCTAAAAACAGTTTCAACCCTATCACGAACATATGTCTTGAAGGCACTCCCTCTTTCTAATAAATGCTGGCGATTACGCTGCTGTTGCCGGCGGGTCTCTATCCCTGTTGCCACTGTTCCCTTACACCTCCTACTGCCAGTGAAACTGCTGCTATCGTTCAAGGCGGCAGCAGCGGGCGGGACTGATGGCCAGGCTGGAACGTATCAGCTCGTATCGTTCAAGGCGGCAGCAGCAGGCGGGACTAACGGCCAGGCTGGAACGTATCAGCTCGGCGGAACTGCAGCGTGCCGTTGCGCTTCTGTTAATGCTGTTACTGCCTTTGCTCCCTGTTCCCTGCTCTCTTCCCTTGCATCTCCTCGCAGTGAAGCTGCTGCTATCGTTCAAGGCGGCATCGGGATTGACGGACAAGGGGTGGAACATATCAGCTCCGAGCTGCGGAGTCCGCAGAACGGCAGCGTGCCATGACGCTCCTGCCAATGCTGCTGCGACTGCCTTTGCTCCCTGCTCCCTGCTCCCTTCCATTGCATCTCCTCGCAGTGAACCTGCTGCTATCGTTCAAGGCAGCATCAGGATTGACGGACAAGAGCTGCGGAACTGCCTTGATCATACGATACCCATACCCTCCGGTTCTCCCCTTGCATCTCCTCGCAGTGAAGCTGCTCCTATCGTTCAAGGCGGCATCGGGATTGACGGACAAGGGGTGGAACATCTCAGCTCCACGCAACTGTAGCATGTGGAGCCGAATCAAGTGCAATGCGACGACCGGCGAAATCACGACACTGTGAGCAACAACCACCTCTACTAGTTGCACTTACATCGGAGTCGCCGAAATCACTGTCGCTTGTCCTTTTTTTTTTTTTTTTTTTTTTCCCCGCTGCTTGCGCATGCCCGCCTGCTCGATACGCTGCTTACACGCTGCGCGTTTTCCTCGCAGATACTTTGACGATGGGTCAATCGGAGCCCTACCTGACATTGTCACACAATTCACTGCTCTTACATACTTGTGAGTTGTCCCTGTCCCCCTTGTTGTCACAATTCACTGCACTCACATACGTACCTATGAGTTGGCCTCTCCCACTCAGTTCACTGCTCTTCCACACCTGTCAACACTCGCTCCAAGGTGCATTTTTTCCGCATAGAAAGTTGCTCAACCTGCCTCTCCACCGTTCTCCACCCTGCTATATTACCAACCATTACTCTTTCCAACCTTGAACCTCTCTATCCACTGCTCCTCTTCCTTCCTTCCTTCCTTCCTTCCTTCCTTCCTTCCTTCCTTCCTTCCTTCCTTCCTTCCTTCCTTCCTTCCTTCCTTCCTTCCTTCCTTCCTTCCTTCCTTCCTTGTCCGCCCTGCTGTGCTCCCACCCACCAGGAGCGTCACTCGGTCCAAGGTGCCTACCACCATTGATGAGAAGATATCAGCCATCAAGACAATGACCCAGCTGCGATACCTGTTCGTCCCTCCACTCCCACGCTACACAGCTTCGCATTTCACCGCACCGCACAACTTCGCATTCCACCGCACCGCACACATCCTGTGGGCGCAAATCCTGCGTGCTAAGTTGAAACGGCCGCCCGGCCTGTCATCTGCTTTCCCCAGAAGCACCTGCTTAAATCAGCGATCTGAGTTCCGTTCCAATCCTCCGTCCCAGGTCGTTGAGGCGCCTCAAGAGACCCCCCTCCCTGCTCTCCTCTTCATCTCTGAGGCGCCTCAAAATTGAGACGATTTTTGAGGCGCCTAAAAAATGATCTCCTCTTCATCTCCAGAGTCGCCCTGGAGAATTCTCCTGACTCGTAGATTTTTTGTTAGAATTCTCCTGACTTGTAGATTGTTTTTCTAAATTCTCCCGACTCGTAAATTGTTTTTGAGAATTCCCCTGTTCTCCTGTCATCTGCTCTCCTCCACCCCCGGCCCTCACACTACCCTATGCCTGTTCCCAGGAGCCTCGGGTCCAACTGGTTCTACTCCTCCATCCCCGCATGGCTATTTGGGCCCCCTTGCCTCTCTAGCCTCCCACACGCATCTCCCTCCCGCTCTCCCCTCTTTCTTGCCCCACTACCCTGTGTGTGCCCCCACCCAGGAGCCTCGGGTCCAACTGGTTCTACTCCTCCATCCCCGAGTGGCTCGTGCAGCTGCCCGAACTCCGCTACCTGTACGTGCACAGAGAGTTGTGTTCGTGTCATAGGGTAACCCGGTAACAATGCGTTGTTTCCAACTGGTTCTACTCCTCCATCCCCGAGTGGCTCGTGCAGCTGCCCCAGCTGCGCTACCTGTACGTACCGTATCTCGGCTCCTTTCCCCTGCCCTCTCTTCTTATCCCCTCTTTTCTCTTTCCCACTCTCCCTCGCTCTCTCCTCTTGCCCTCTCTTCTCACCCCCCTCCTCCCTCCCCACCCCCCTACCTTCCCCCCCCCCCCCCCCCCTCCGCTCCACGCCCCCTTGCCACCTGTCCCACAACTCCCCGACAGGCCCAACTCCCCCCCATCACAGCCCCCCTCAGCTCATTCGACGTCACCAGCAACCTCCTCTCTCTCGCGCTCTGCTCTTAACCCCCTTCCCCCTTTCCCCTTCCCCCTTCCCCCTTTCTCCTTCCCCCTTCCCCCTTCCCCCCTCTCCCACCCCCAGCCACCTGCCCTACAACTTCCTGACAGGTCCCATCCCCCCCATCACAGCCCCTCTCAGCTCATTCGACGTCACCAGCAACCTCCTCTCTCTCGCGCTCTGCTCTTAACCCTCTTCCCCCTTCCCCCTTCCCACTTTCCCCCTTCCCCCTTCCCCCTTCCCCCTTACCCCTTTCCCCCTCTCCCACCCCCAGCCACCTGCCCTACAACTTCCTGACAGGCCCCATCCCGCCCATCACCGCCCCTCTCAGCTCCTTTGACATCACCAGCAACCTCCTTACCCTTGCTCCCTTTCCTTACCCCATTCCCCCCTTCCCCCTCTCTCTCCAACCCCCAGCCACCTGCCCTACAACTTCCTAACAGGTCCCATCCCCCCCATCACAGCCCCTCTCAGCTCATTCGACGTCACCAGCAAAGCAACCTCCTCTCGGGAACCTTCCCCCCCCGCAAGACGCCCATCAAGTCATGCCTCGCGGCGGGGTGACTCTTCTTGAGTTGACTCAAGAATCTCCTTTCCTTTTCTCGCCAGCAATTTCCTTTCCTTTGCTCTCTCCTCTCCCTCCTCCCTCCCTCCCTCCCCCTCCCCCCTGCCCCCCAGCCACCTGCCCTACAACTTCCTAACAGGCCCCATCCCCCCCATCACAGCCCCCCTCAGCTCATTCGACGTCACCAACAACCTCCTCTCGGGAACCTTCCCCCCCCGCAAGACGCCCATCAAGTCGTGCCTCGCGGCGGGAAACTGCATGGAAGATGCGTCGGCGTGCACGGTGGGAGCGGGGCAGCAGCGGGCGGACGTGGGGGACGCGTACTGTGGGGCGGTGGTGGGGGATATTTGCCGCCCTGCACCAGAGGCGGGGCAGACGTGGAAGGACCAAGTAACACTGCGATGCTCTTCCAGTGAGTCAACGCTAGTAACAGTGGGTGGGTTGGTGGGGTGGGTTGGTGGGTGGGCTTGTGCGTGGGCTTGTGGGTGGGTCTCAACTCATCAACCAATCTCTGCACTTTGCCTTGCCTTGTCTCACTCTGCCCACTCACTCTGCCCTCGTGCTCTGCCCCTCACTCTGCCCTCGTGCTCTGCCCCTCACTCTGTGCTCTGCCCCTCACTCTGCCCTCGTGCTCTGCCCCTCACTCTGCCTCGTGCTCTGCCCCTCACTCTGTGCTCTGCCCCTCACTCTGCCCTCGTGCTCTGCCCCTCACTCTGCCTCGTGCTCTGCCCACACCAGCGAGCGTCGTTTCTGCAACAGACTCAATCGAACCTCCTATGGATGAACCTGAAGTGATGGAGCAGGACAACGGTCCTGTGGACACCTCTGTTGCAGGCCAATCCGATGCAGGAATACCTGATGGCACTTCAGATTCTACCCAGGAGAATACACCCGAAAACACGGATGGCTCGTCTGCAGTGCAGCCGGTGAAGGGGAAAAGTGTTAAAGGGAAGAGTAAAGGCGGTGCGACAAAGGCATGCTCCTGCAAGAAGAGTGTGTGCAAGGCGAGTGAGGTGTGCATAAACATGTCGGTTGGCAAACGGTGCAACGTCAAGTGTATGAAGAACCTGTTTAAGGTCTAAGTGGCTGCAGGCTATTGTTGGGGTTTATATTACTTTTCTAAAATTTTTGTTCTTTCATTTTTGGGTGTGGGACTGATGGGTTGTTCAACCTGCATACATGACTATTGCTGTGCATGAGTTTCAATATGTACTACTATTTTGTATGTTGTAAAATTCTGGTGATTCTGTTTAAGCCTGAACTACGTGTAGTTGAAATGTGCAATAGTTTGCAAACTCACTTTACTAGATGCGTTTGGAAATTGGCTTGACGAAATATGAATGGTGTAGTAAACCTTTCAGATTACTCTAGGACTCTTCACTTCTAAACGCGTACGAGAAATTGAAACCCAACGCTCCGCCCCGAGTCTCTCCACATATGGTCATTTTCCATCCTGGCTGAATCTCGTATTTTCGCCTAAACTGGTTGCCAGAATGAGTTTTTTGGACCGAGCCGCCTCGCTCTCACACCCACAGACCGTAAATTGCTTCCCCTGCGACGCGAGCGGGGCCGTCGCGCAACACTCTTCCATCTATTCCCGTTCAAATTCGCTTTCCCGACGCTCCGTTAAACCATTGCAATGCGGTTCGCTAGTTCCTACTAGGCACATCTCCTCCCCGTCTGTAGTCCCCCGCCATTCCCGGCGCAATCCACGGCGCGGTTCGTGGTTAATGGCGACAAGAAGTAGCATCGACGGCGGGGAGGGAAGCGAATCAGGCGAGGGTCAGGCAGAGGAGCGATCAGGATCGGACGGTTCACAGAGCCTCGCGACGCGGATCCTTCATTATAAGGGCGCGGACTTCGACCCGTACGGGGCCGTCAGCACGCCGATCTATCAAACGGCTACTTTCCGACAGGTCAACGTTTATCCAATGCAGTCCTAATGCGACGCACTCCTTACAGCTTTTAAGACACTGCCCACCTCCCTAGCTCTCTCGAAAGATTATATTAGGAAACTCGAAAGTCGGCATGCCAGGACGCACGTCCCCGTTATCTACCTAACGGCCAGATTTCGACAAGTCAAAGATTTCGACAAGTCAAACTGTGAAGCTGGGGGTAGACCTGGGAAACCGGGGTGGGGAAGAGCAGAGACAGAGCGGCTGGGGGATCGATCGCCAGTGCGCATTGATATTTCCGCCCATAAGGCAGCGGCATGGGAGTTGAACATTTGAAGACTGTGAAGCTCGGGGTAGCGGGGGAAACCGGGGTGGGGAAGAGCAGAGACAGAGCGGCTGGGGGAATCGATCGCCAGTGCGCATTGGTAACTCCACCGATAACGCAGAAATACCGTGCGCTGCGCATTGGTGTGATGTAGAAAACGATAGGACTCATGCTGCAGGCACGTAATTCATTTCCATCGAAATATTGACTGCATTTATTCATCAATTTTTTATCCGGATCTTCCCTCTCCCTGTTCGTAATGCGACAGGTCTCTGCGACGGAGAATAATGCTTACGACTACACCCGCAGTGGTAACCCTACGAGAGATGCTCTCGAGAAGTGAGTTTGGTGTGGGTGTGAAGAGAGCCTGAACTGAGTGTGAAGTGATTTGTCATGGAAGGAGAGTGGTGAGACGAAGGAAAGACACGGTAGTTTCTCGTTCCTGGTATCAATCCTTTCCGCATCCTGTTCCGAGCAACTTTTCCCTCTCTCTCCCCTATCTTCCCCCTTCAGCGCATCTGATGGATTGGCCAGCCCATTGTGCTGAACGTTGGGAGGGAAACGATGGATTGGCCAGCCCGTCGTGCTGGCAAACGTGGTTTGAGACGTCTCAAAACATGGATTGGCCAGCACGTCGTGCTGGCAAACGTGGTTTGAGACGTCTCAAAACATGGATTGGCCAGCACGTCGTGCTGGCAAACGTGGTTTGAGACGTCTCAAAACATGGATTGGCCAGCCCGTCGTGCTGGCAAACGTGTTTTGAGACGTCTCAAAACATGGATTGGCCAGCCCATCGTGCTGGCAAACGTGTTTTGAGACGTCTCAAAACATGGATTGGCCAGCCCGTCGTGCTGGCAAACGTGTTTTGAGACGTCTCAAAACATGGATTGGCCAGCCCGTCGTGCTGGCAAGCGACCAGCAGCTATCTTTGCCACTGAACGTTTCCGGCTGGTCCCTCCCTCCCCGTTGCTCCCCGCTTTTCCCCATTTATCCCCGTTGCTCCCCGCTTTTCCCCATTTATCCCCGTTCCTGCCCGCTATTTCCCGTTTATCCCCGTTTCTCCCCGCTTTTCCCCATTAATCCCGCTTTTCCCCGTTTCTCCCCGCTTTTCCCGTCTTTCTTCCTCTCTACTTTCCGCTCTTCCCACGTTTCTCTACCACGCAGGCTACTAGCAGGGGTGGAGGGGGCGCATCGTGCCTTTGCCTTTCAGATGAACCAACCCGTGCTGCTCTTTTTTCCTCTCTACTTGCTGCTCTTCCCACGTTTCTCTACCACGCAGGCTACTAGCAGAGGTGGAGGGGGCGCATCGTGCCTTTGCCTTCAGCACCGGGATGGCGGCTCTTGCTGCAGCCACCAGGCTGGTTATCACTGGTGAGCTTCGTTTTCACTGGCGAGATCTCGTTACCATCAGTGGGATTCGTTACCACCAGTGGGATTCGTTACCACCAGTGGGATTCGTTACCACCAGCGAAATCTCCTTATTGCTGTTTATATCCTCTTACCACTGGTGTGACGTGATTTCGGCACCACAGAATCACAAGATTTACTTCACAGAATTCCGTTACTTCTCGCAAGATTTTCCTCCCGTTGCCTCACTCGCCGTGTCCTGCACTGGGCTCTGACATTTCACATGGGACTTTCAGGTTCATCCATAGTGGCGGGAGATGATATTTACAGAGGCACGGACCGGCTGCTGTCAAGAGAGGGATGATACCTGCCCCTCCCTCCCTCCCTCCCTGCCTGCCACTTGTGTCCCCCCTCCCTCCTCACGGCAACCCCCTCCCTCCCTCCCTCCCTCCCTCCCTCCCTCCCTCCCTCCCTCCCTCCCTCCCTCCCTGCCTGCCCCTTGTATCCCCCCTCCCTTCCTTTCAGGTTCTTCCATTGTAGCGGGTGACGACATTTATGGAGGGACAGATCGGCTGCTGTCAAGAGTGGTGCCTCGCGCTGGTGTTTCTGTCAGGTGGGTCTTCTGGTGCTGTCAGGTGGATTTTCTGTTGCTGTCAGGTGGGTCTTCTGGTGCTGTCAGGTGGATTTTCTGTTGCTGTCAGGCGGGTGGTGTTCTGTTGCCCTCAGGTGGGTCTGCTGTTGCTGTCAGGTGGGTGTTTTGTTGTTTTTCAGGTGGGCCCTCTGCTGCTTCCAGGTAATTTGTTTCCTGCTCTCTTATTGAGCTTCCACTCTCCCGCCCTGTTCCCTCCCACCAAGCGGGTCGACACAACAGGTCTGAAAGCAGAGAGGGTGGTAGTGCAGGCTGACACCAAGCTGGTCGTCATGTAGATGAGAATCCCTCTCCTCCCTCTCCCTCGTCTTCTCCGTGTCTCTCCTCCCTCTCCCACCTTCCCTCTCTCTGCTCCTTCCCCACCAGGCTGGTCGATACAACAGACCTGCAAGCAGTGAGGGCGGCAGTGCAGGCAGGCACCAAGCTGGTCGCCATGGAGAGCCCCACCAACCACTGTCTGTGCCACCAAGCTAGTACTTACCATTACCATTCCTCCCTCTCGCTGCTCTCTCCTCCCCAGGAGAGTGGACACAACGGACTTGGAAGCAGTGAGGGCGGCAGTGCAGGCCGACACCAAGCTGGTCGTTATGGAGAGCCCCACCAACCCGCGCATGATGATCAGCGATATTAGAGTGGGTCACCGCACTGCACCGCTCTTCACTGTATTGCACCGCTTTGCATTGTGTTGCACCTTAATGCACTGCACTGCACCGCAGTGCACCGCACTGTGCCCCTCTACTACCCCTGTTTCCATCCACATCCCCAACATATCACCCTCTCTCTGCTGGTGCTCATAGAGGGCCACACCAACCAATCCCCGTATGATGATCAGCGCTATCAGGGTGAGTCATGCACCGCACTGCACCGTGCTGCACCTTTCTTCCCCCTCTCACCAGCACTGATCATGGTTGGTCGATAGCAGCGGGCTTTTTGAAAATTTCTCAAAATCAGCCTGCTCTCGCCTCCCTTTCTCCCATCTGATAAAAGAGATGTTTTGAGACGTCTCAAAACATCTCTTTTATCACGTGGTCTTCCTCCCTCAACATGCAAAAGCAGAGATAGCTCACAGTGGGTGCGCTGCTACTGGTGGACAACAGCATCATGTCTCCCGTGCTGTCGCAGCCGCTGCAGCGATTAGCAGTGCCACCCTCTCTCTTCTATCCCTCCCTTGCAGGCAATCGCGGAGATAGCCCATTCAGTCAGTGCGCTGCTACTGGTAGACAACAGCATCATGTCTACAGTGCTGTTGCAGCCGCTGCAGCTCAGTGCCTCCCTCTCCTCCCCACTCTGTCCCCTCTTGTACCCCTCCATTCCTCA